AAGGCAGATAAGGTCAAAGAATCCTGGCTGGTTGTCTATGCTTTGCGAACGGTGACAGCCCTAAGTAAGATATTAACGTTCTAGAGAGATGTGGACTAGCTTTTTCCTTGTTATCTACGAAGCATAATAGCACTGATACCACTGTGGTATTACGTGTATAAATTGTTAATAATGGTTGGGAGGCTGGATCAACCGTTACTTAAAGTTATGCATAAAAAGTCAGTTTTTTGTAAAATAACTTCGTCAATATAATTTGACAAATAAATCTTCTTGTATCGGAAAAGGATAAGTTTGATACTCTGGAGCACTTGTCACTCCGGCAGAGATGTCAGAGAATATGTTAACAGTTTCATTTACCTTCCCCAAAATTAATTTAAGGCCATTCCACGTCAAATAATTTACTGACTTCATGACACTCAGTGAATCATCTGTCAAGTTCCTGGTCAACAACTGACAGAAAATAAAGAGTACAGGTCGTTTCGGTTGAAATACAGGCTTGTGCCATCAATTCAAAATACACTGAGGATGTGGCCCTGGCAAATCCAATTCTTCATCTTATGCATAAACAGCGTGGGGCGATCACCCCAGAGTTATACCCGGTGATTTATAACCTAATCAGAGACTCACCCCATATTCTGTGACTTTATTTTGCCCCCATTTAGAAAGGACATAGGCTTTTTGAACCCTATATTATTAACTAGTTCTCAATATGGTTCTAAAGGTCACCACCATTCCCCTTATCCTTACACCTTTGTTTCATTATTCTGTCCGCATTACTGATTATTCAACTGATTTATTTACCTATAAAAACAACAGTTTTCCCCTAGTATTTGGATTTTTTGTTTGATATTTTTAGGGCTGTAAAAACGTCAGGTTCACTCAAAGCCACCCACTATTGCGTTCTAATGACCTTGAAGAGCCTAGTATTAGGCAGCCATCCCGTATTTTAACTGCTCTGTGCTGGTCCGTTATCCGTTCGGTTGCATAGATTTTGTGTGTTCTTATATTTAAGCAGTCTGTTGATGCAGTAAAATCATTGCAGAAAACGAAGAACTTCCTCTGTTTTGTAGTACACACCTTGGCTCGATTTTTGCCTCGTGACGTGATCTCAGATACCAGTTGTTCTACTGAACCTCACCACATTTGGTTGAAACTTGATAAGGTTCAGAAATTAACGTGACAACAATGAGGATAACATAGCAGTTCTGGATACGGAACGTTATGTAAGTCACTGTTTTATGCGAAATTTAAGGCGGCATCAAATAGCCAGCATGTTTTAAGCTTAGATTGTACTGGAACACAAAAAGACGCGTTTTGTCTATCTGGGATACCAAAACGGTAATTGGGTGTTTGTGATCGACCGCAGCAAGCTCTATATGTTAGATGCAAGCATTTGCGCGTAAAACTGTCGAACTTTTGTGACATGCTGGCATCCTTGCGTTACTTCTGACGAGCTCTTTTAAGTAAACTTGGTCGGTTAAACCTCATAGTTAATCATATTTTTTGACACTGCAGCCGATGAAAGATTGTCAATACACATACTTTTTATAATAACTTAACAGTTTCGTTCCCCAAACGAAAAAACAGTGTTCACAGATCCAACGAATCTATGGAATGCACAAAAAGCAGATTGGATAAATGTAATAAGTAGTTCGAGGTGATAGTGGAGACGAATAGTGACAATTATTACTAAGGAATCATCAATAACTAAATAAGACTCCAGTTTCTCTAAACCCTAATTTTGTAAAGTCTTCTTTACGATAAAAACATGGCTCGAAATATAGAAATGTGTGGAGATGTGACTAGAAGTGTTTACTATAAAAAGCTTTTTGTGCTTGTATTTTTAACTTCATTATACATACAAATAGCAAACTTATTTTCTTGCACTAAATGTTATTCTTCCTTTATCAGTAGTAACGGTGCATCAGTGAACTTTTTTCAAACTTTTGCTTTCCTCATGGCAGTTTCACTGGGTAACTGTTTTCGAAAGTTAGGAGCAACTAAGTGTTGTAGTGCATCAGTTTAGAAGTTTCGCCGAAACGTTACGTTGTATATATAAGTTTCTTCGCTGTGGCAGTATATTCCGTTGAAAATTAGCATGATTTATAGTGCTAAAGAACACGAGCCAAGCCCTCATGAGATCTGAGACGAGTTCTTCGCTTGTAGCAGGCTCGTGCAACAAATCAAAGGATTGAGTATAGTTGTTACAATCATATTTAAATAATCGTAGAAGGGGTCAATAATAAACACAGTTTTCGTCAACTTGTAAATTGTCCGTTCACATAGTTTACCATATACAGCAATTTGCGAAGTTCTTTGCTGGTAAAGACTTGAATATTGGAAAGGTTTGAGCCTTTCAATTAGTTGATAGAAGCTACAAGTTACATACAAGAAAACGCATAGATAGCTTCCCAACCTAATCGATGCAATTCTGAAAAACAACAGATCAGTCATGAAACAAACGCTTTGACCTCGTTGTGAGTACCAAATTCAATACACAGATGGAATACCAGCTAACAAGATGTAGCTATAAGTGTCTTACCCGTTGTAAACAATGCCCTTCATTTTCTAACCCTCCTACAATTTCACATAGTCGTTCAGTATTTGCAAAGGAATCGCAGGGACCGATTCAGAAACTTCAAGTATTATTATGAAATTTGAAAGGAATCCAATTACAACGTTCATAATGCTATTGGTGATTCACAGTTTATATACAATAATGACATCATTAGTAAGAACTAATCAGGTATTAGTTATCAATATGCATAAGATCTTTTTTATAGTCTGGTCAGTGATTGCAGATTCTATTTACATAGATTCATTCACATTCTCTATAAAGGACACATCATAAATTCGTATTCGCTAATATCATAGTTAAGTTACCATGTTCGGAAAAACTTTCGTCGTTTTACCTATGAAGAATATATCACTAATTCCTGTGACATACATATACAGGTTCCGTATATGTTTAGAAGGCAGGAAGAAAAGGGTATCAGAGATAACTAATACTTATATAACTTTTCTTTCTCAGGTAACTTACTTACTTGAGCCAGTTACCCCTCGTGAAGGAGCATAGGCCCCCAATCAGAATTCGCCTTACAACTCTGTCCTGGACAATCCCTTATAGTTTGATCGAAATTTAGGACTTTGATTTCTTCCCTGTGTATTTCAAAGTAACTTGATGCATGTGCTTTTGTGCCCTGGCTGTCCTAATCTGCATTTGTTCGTGTGTATTGGATAGAAGAACTACGTTATCTAAGAAGTCCAAATCGTCTGGTTCCATCCCATCTGTCAATTATATCCCAAACCTCCCTGAAGTGTGGAGGTCTTTGTAATTCAGTCAACCACCAGAAGAGAGAAAAAGGGAGAGAGTAAGCACCATTGTTAGACTCCGGTATTCACTTGGAATGAGGCAGTCAGCTGCCCTCCATTCACGACTTTCCATTGTAGTCCGTCGTATGAGTTCCGCATGATATTGACAATTTTCGAATAAGTTTCCATACTGTTCCATCCACAACGTAAAATGCATTCTCATAATCAAGGAACCAAAATTACAGTGACGAGTTCCACTCAGTTGACTGTTCGACAATGACCCGCAGTGTTGCGATTTGGTCTGTGCGCTACAGATTCTTACTGAATCCGATCTGTTAACCTCGAAGCTGGGCATATACTGAATCTGTCATCCGGCTCAGTAACACTTTGTTGAAAAGTGATACCACTAGTAAGGTGATACCTCAGTAGGTCTCATACTTGCTGAGATCTTTTTTCTCTGATATGATGACGAGGTGTTTCTCTTTCCAGCCTGTCGGCAGTTGTAAATTAGCGACTCATATGACACTCAAAAATAATTTAGCACACAATTGCTTCAACTAACAGACATCTATGTTCATCAACATACTTCATGGTGATGAATCGCCATTGACAACCTGGGAACACCGGATGGTCGTTTCGTCCCAGTATTGGGTCCCTGACAATGTTCATCCATGGCCCATCACAAGGGAATCAAACCCAGGCCCCCTAGTCTCGCATATCAACGCTTCACCTCATGGCCACTGACTCATGATCCAATAATGTTAGTGTCTAATTCATGACATTGTGCGACCATCTTTCATTATCTTCAGCGGGTAACTGCCTCCCACCCTACTCATTTCACCCATACGAGTCACGGCTTCTCATTGAGTTTCTCGAAATTTTCCCTCAAAGCCGGTCACTAGTTAGCACAAGATAACTGTCAGCAAGTGGTTGTGGAGATTGCTGATATTGACTCAGGGGTCTAAAGGTGAAGCGTTCTCCCGAAAGACCTTAGGTCCTGAGCCCAAATACTGAGCACAGAGTCAAGGATGGGCATTGCTGAGGAAAATTCCTACACTGAAACATAATGTCCTTCCAGCTTTCATGGGTTTTAATGGTAGCAGAAATCAGATCTGTTCATGATCTTAATCATATTTGATCATCTCCACAACACCTTACTGATAAAAAGGATAAGTAAAATCGAATACTACTTATTAGGGGTTATCAGAGACCTAGAACCGTACCAAAATGATAGAACGAAAGAGAGAGGAATCGGTTGACTCATACAGGCTTGTCATAAATATATTATATATATTAAATTTTGTATAATATCGTTCATAACCGTCACCGTAACCACCGCATAAAGGCAAAACACTAAGAGATCAAAAGAAACTCAGAATTCAGTACTCAAGAAAACAACAATACGATCTTCCTCTGACCTCTGATGTAGAAGGTTTAATAGTTGTTTCATTTCTATTGCCATTTAAGAAGATACCCCAATTGTTATTCCTTGAAGACTCGTGACAAAAACAATTGCATTTTCAGTTGTTTTAGAGCTTTGAAATGTTATAACAGTAATTAAAACCTTCCATAACCTGTAATCCTCTTTCGAGATCAAACACGGAACCCAGAAAACATCCGGTCTACTACTTATGTTTGATGAGGATTGAAATTTGCAATTGAGCCTTGGATCTTCGTGTCAAAGATAAATTTTGAGCTACCTGTTGTCAGACCGTTCAAGGTCGCTTTAACGAAAGGGCGGGGGGTTTCGAAAGGATCTAACCTTTTTACCGTGCTCGTCAATGTCGGTCAAAATTAAGAAATCAGTCGCTAGGTTTCTAAGCCATCAAGTTGCTCATAGAATTAAACTCTTAGAATCAGCCCTGCTTGAAATCCATGATCTTGATAACCGCATGAAGATGGAACTATTGGCTTTGAACACCCTTGCGAATCCAAACGATGACGAATTTTGTGAAGAGGATTGTATGACATATATGTCTGCAGAAGACGTAAGTTATATTGTCCGGGTAACCTTCGTCACTGTTTCAAGGAGAACCACCAGGACATAGTTTTTATTAGCTAGCTTACCAGGGAAACATAAACGTTTTGCAGGGAATCTATCCAGTCATATAATAATTTGATCGTACTGCTAAAAATTTAAAAAGATTTTCAGGGGACAACTCGAAGTGGTGTTTTTATGCTGTGTCATAATCTCCTGTTCGAAGTCTGCACATCGTCATTTCATCGACCAAATCTGAGTATTCAACTTTCGACCGTCTGAAACTACCTTCCACTTCAGCTCTGACATCCCGGTAGTGACATTAAATTTTATGCAACCAAAATATAACCCATATTATAGTGTATATGTCTGTACTTGGAAATTAAGCCACATCGTTTTGTCCTGAGTTCTTTGATCTACAGGCTACTCTTATTCGGTTGTCCACCTATCACATTTGAGTTATATGATATTTCGATGGTTAAAATATTAGTGCTGACAAAATTAGAAGTATTTGTCTTGTTCACGTCAGTTATGCTAATGGTATTCTCAATTGTTCCATGTCATGATAAGTAGGTTCTGTTATAGAAATAGTTAAATATCTACCTATTTACAAGCATATTCAGGTTGATCTAAAAATCCATGTTACACATAATTGACAGAGATATAAAGTTAGACTGTTTGAATAAATGTTTATGCATTCCTTCGAAAAGGCAATTGTCTCAAGATTTATAGTAATGCAGGGCAAAAGTCGGCACCCAGTTATTCCTAGTTGCTAGTGGGAATGGAACATGTGCAGTGTCGAAAGGCTATTCTGGTGAAATTGTGTAGTAACTATAATCTACAGCTAGTTAGTTAGAAGTGAAGACAAAGCATAAAGCAAGGACAAAGTTAACGTGATGGGTCGGGTTATACCAGTGTTAGCTTGTTTTATTACCTAATCTAAATATATAGTCACCCAAGAATAATGTACATTTAAAATATCTGCGAAGTCTAGTAATATAAAGTTTATGTTCGTATTTTTTTTCACGAGTTGAACGGATTATAGCCACAAGTGTATGATGTTTTAGAGTAGAGGTAACTATCGAAATAACCAACAAGTTATGATAATGATCTTGTTCCATGAACAAATTTTGGCAGATGATCCTAGTCCGGGAAATTTACTTGCAAGTAATTAATATAGAGTAAAAATTCAGAATGCGACATCTTCGCTTCTGAAAAATACGACTATATGTTCCTGGGTTTTGGATTGAAGCAGTGGATGTAAAAGATGGTTCGTCTCATCCAGTTTCAACGTGTTGATTGAGAGTATTCAGATGACAATTCTACTTGGCGAAGACAATGACAAAAACAATCTGCTGAATTCTTCGAATAGTAACGCAGGAATATTCGTCTCCGTACCTCGAAATTCTGGGCTGGTCTGGATGGGTTCATGTCTAACTTAACCTTGTGCAGTGAAATCGTTTGAGACATTAGTTTCTTCAATTATTTTAGATGCCTTAAGTACCGTGGTAGGCTGGTTGCTATCTTGGCACAGATATACTAATATCTTTTGGCTACTGTAGAGCGTGTTGGCTTTCTAATTAGAATGAAAGTATACTGTGTGTTAGTTCATTTTACATTACTTCACTGCTGTAAAAGGCGGTTTATGAGAGTAGAGGACTTTCACAAGTCACAAGTATATAATTATAGATGCCTGCAAATTATCCCTGGCATTCAACGGAAGCACAAAAGTGGTGTTCTCTTCGCTTTTGGTCACTGGCTAGTACCACTGTCCCTCACACTTTAATGTGACTCATACCCAATTACCTACTGAAGGAGCTAGTACGGTTTTTATCATTTATTTTAGGTGAAGACAGTAGGTACATGTGACAAGACCATGTGCGGTCAGCGCCTTCTCCGTTTTAGTCTGATAACACTCACGAAAGTAGCATTTAAGGTTTTTTAACAATCTGGATTTGACTTTCATCACTAACTGACAGTTGTAAACCAGGAAACGGTGGACATCTGTCTCCTACCCTAAAACTCGGGATTGACTACTTTCAATCCTACATCCTGTACTTTTCGACATTGTGTTCACCTCCAAACACAAAGGTTTTGTTTGATCTTGGTGCAGTATGCTAAAAAGTTTGGGACCAAGAAATAATTTTCCAGTACTATTTGGTATTCAGTGCTTTTCCGTTGATGTCAAGCCATGGTTAACTATCTTTTACTGTTTTTGATATTAAAAAATATTTTGGTGCTGTATATATGTGGTTTTTAACTTGTCACCTATTTATTTTTTGGTAGGAATTATTAAAAAGCCATGAGAATTTTGAGGATTCCAACTGTGATGTTAAATATGAGTTGGTGGATTTGAACGATGATGTTACGGCTTATGAAGCGTCAGTTAATAAAGTCGACGAACAAATTCAATCAATTGATGTCCACCAATCACACTCTTGTTTTACTAAGGGTCGAAATATATCTACACTGAAAACATTCGATTTTCTTACTGGTCTTATTAATGATCGATCGTTAGAGCTGACTTCCTGTTTACCTGTTGATATAGATCATTGTTCAGAGTAGTTATTTTCTATTCATGCATTCTTGTACAAAAGATTCGATTCTAACTTTAAAACATTTGTAAATATATATGTACCCAGTTATTCAATACACATTCATTTATACTTACTGTTATGATTTCTGAAAGATTAATGTGTTGATAAAACCGTATGATTCGCAAAACTGCAAGTCGTTTGCTGAAGCCATTTTCTTGGTTATAAAGTATAAAACACTTATGTCACTAGTAAAGTTTGTGAGTGGAGAGTTGAGATGTTTTGTTGAGTACCTAGTTTGTCGAATGCTCGGATGGTATTCTCGTGATTGTCGGGTTACCTGACCTGCCAGGGGGGGATGAGACAATCCATTGTTGTGTACCAGAATCAGTGAAAGCCGTATGCTATATTTGTACTCCCTCCTGTTATTGTCACACCTAGCCGTAGCTGCTACCTTGACGCGGTGGTTGGCTTTGATCATTGAGTTGACTCAGTCTCTATACACGGACTGGAACACTTGTTCCTGGAGGTCTTACACGATATTTCGGTTGAAGGTGAATGAGACTAGATGTAACAACTTGATGCTCATTTTCAAAATTGTTTTTTAACTTTTGTTCCGTGAAGTCACTTTTTTCTGTGAATCATATTCTCTACCCCTAAATCTCTTTTGCTATTAATGGTACGGATACTGCAGTGTTCATTATAAATTTGTTTAACTGTGCTAATAGTGTAAAAACCTATGTCGATGCACGTTTTCACTAGTTTCTACGTTGCTTTTTATTGACTGAATACTTTACAGATCAGTTCATTTGTAGTACATCTGTATTATAGTTGTCCATAATCCATACACAGTATGGATAAGATACTGACCTCATCCCTCATAACTTCATTGAAACTAAGAATACTGTTACGTGTTGAATGAGTTGAAACAATAATGTCTGAGGTCCATAAGCTTTTCGGTAGGTCGTCAGGAAAAATTAGTAGTTAAATCGTGGTGTTTTTTCTCTTGAACTACCACTATTGAGTGCAAATGGATTTAGCATTCCATGAAACGCCTTGACTGTTTGCCTCTCTTTATAGTTGGGAAAGCCTTTCCGAATTATTCCCATATTTTTAACAGCGATTTGGTGATTATTAAAAACAGCATGTACTTCTGTTGCCGATTCAATTTGTAGATTTGTCAACCCTACGAGATTATCAGGAAATCTTTTTGTCTAGCTTAAGTGCCACGAGTCGAGATTTCACGAGATTCTTACATTGGTTGAAAATAGTGATGAGTCTGAGATAAGTGAACTTCTAAAAGAATTAAAGCCTTCTATTGGCGTTTACTTATTGTTTACCTTATATCCCAAATTCGAAACCACATTACGTTCCTACAGGGTGCCGAAATTTCACAAACTAGGTACCTATTGGGTGAAGACCGGCCGAATAAGCAATATGAAGTTGGGGTGGAGCAGGGTGAAGGTGGCGATGTTGAGGGAAAAAGAATAGGTCAATCAGATTATGAATTATCAACTATCTGAGCTGCGTATAACGATTATTAGTATTGTGCTTTGTAATGAAGACTTCCCAGTTGTTGTCTTTGTATAAATGGGAATCAACGGTAGAAATACCGACTTTTTGGTGACGTTCACAGTAGTTCGAGATATTTTTAATTATTTTGCTTTAGATGGATCTTCAAAAATATTTGACTTCACCATCGGTTCGGGTAAATTACGCACTTATGTAGTTAACCGTATTGGATTATGTAAGTAATATTGTTAGCAAAAGCTATTTATCGGAAACTTATCTACTGTTAATTGTTATTGACTGACTGGTTAAATCAATCAACTTTCACTTATTAAGATGTGAGGTTCAGCGCTGTCCATCTGTTTCTGTTCAAGTAGTCAAATAATATCGATAGCTTTCACATCAAATGTTTTAATCAAAGTCGAATACATGAGCCTGTATGTGGTTACTGAACTGTATTAGATTAAATTACTTATGTGATGAAACAAGTCCGTTTTTTTTGTCTACAAATGTGTTCACACATAATAATGTGATCACCTACTGTACTTACGCCTGTTACTCCCAATGGAACATAGGCCGCCGACTAGCATTCTCCAACCCACTCTGTCCTGAGCCTTCCTTTCTAGTTCTATCCAAAAAAATTTCATTCTTCTCATGTCTGTCTGTACTTACATATATTTCACTTTAATTTTAGTATTCATCCCAGTCTTCATTATTATCATTGTCACCTGAACAACAATTGAGAATATCAAAAGAATTTCCATTAGATAATGAATTAAAACATCGTCATTATGATTCAATTAATGATGATGGTGACTTTTATCAGAATTCAGATTCGAACAGTAGTTCCTTGATATTTGATTCAGATATATTAAAAAATTCTTCAAATAATAATAGTATAACACAAATTGAATGTATGAGACATTCAGATCATCGTAATGGTTCATCATCTGTTACACGTTTTATGGAACATGTATATATACGTGAAGAAGATAATGATAGTGATGATGATAGTATAAATTCAGACTATGTTAACAATAAAATTTCAACGAAAAAATGTACATATATTGGACTATTATCAATTATTATTTGTATTACATCAATTCCATTTGTATTTTACATATATCCAAGTAAGTTATAATTTTCTTTATAAGAGTTCATTTGACTCGTTTGTTTAAAACTTATTTATTTATTTAAACATATAAACATTGACACAAGGAAGGAACCAAACAGATATGCGCTACATAAATCATCCGATTTATGTCAGGGATAGGATACTGCTCGGGTGCCCGGACTGAAGCAGGTGGTTTTATTAGAGGGTCACATCCGGAGCCTTCGATCTAAAGGTCTGATCCACAGGACAGTGAAGCAACGTCAGGAGATGAAATCCCATGGTAGCCGGTGACCAACAATTGGTCCATGCGCCATTTGTTCCTTCAGGATACTGGAGCCCATGTGCACCATTGGCTTGGAGTCAGGGTTTTTCAACTCCCCTAGGTGGATTCTCCATATCCACCAACACGGTTAAATCGCCGGACATTCGCTTTTCATCCCCTCAATTTCGTAAACAACAGTAGTGCCTTGAGAAGGCAGTAAGTAGGATTTATGTGGCAGTAGTTGTATGCACGTGGCTATGTGAGAGCATTTGGAAAGGGAGAGTTGACTCTTCCCACTCTCGGAAACTTAGCTAAATATGCTTTACATGCATTTAAATCATCAAGTTGTATTAAAAATGACATAGATTTCCTTTTTCACATATTCATTTTATTTGATTTAGCTATTATCCTACAACTTTTTCAATGAATTTATTTCATAGTTTCTCTTAAAACACATACCCCCCAAATGTCTTGGTACAGTCGAGGGTGGGGAGAGTTCGCTCTCCTCGAAATGATCTCACATGACCACGCGTATATAGCCACATCCAACGAAGTCTTACTACCTGATCCCTGATTCGAAACCAATGGTGCACATGGGCTCCAGTATCCTGAAGGAACAAACGGCGCATGGACCAATTGTTGGTCACCGGCTACCATGGGAGTGCATCACCTAACGTTGCTCCACTGCCTTGTGGATCAGACCTTTAGGTCGAATGATTTATGTAGCGCATATCTGTTTGGTTCCTTCCTTGTGTCAATGTTTATATGTTTAAATAAATAACGGCAATATAAATATGAAAGAATTCTAAAATGATTTAGGTGTTAGTTAAATATAAAAAACTCTAGGAAAAAAGTAATAAAAACTAATAGGAATAAGTTACAAATTGTAAAAATGAATTCACTTGTTGTTTACTTGTATCTTCCCATTGTTGTTTAGGACTACAATTGATCAGTCCCTTGTTGGCATCCTGTACAGATTGTTTCGATATTGCCTGAAGTCACAAGCTTTATAAGCAATAATCGGAAGATACAAGCAAACAACAGCGTGTATTTAGATTTAACCACATCGCACAAGCAAATGGCTATCAGGACTCAGTAGCTAAGTGGATAACGCGATAGCGTTTGAAGCGAACAGTGTTGGGTTCGGGTCCCGGAGTGAACATCAACTCTGAAATGCAGGTACATCCAGCTGACGAGTCCAATGCTAGCCACCATCCGTCTTCGCCAATAAAAATGAATGTTGAGAATCATTTAATAACGACGATAAAAACGGACGGATCAACCGAAGATAATAAGTAAAGCTCTAAAAGCGATATAGGAATGAAGAGAAGGAATTTATAACTGACAGAGTGAAATAATAATCTAAACAATTAAATAATGAGAACTGGATTCACCGAAGCTGCGCGAGGTTTAGATTAGGAATTTAGAGTTCAGTCAGTAACAACGTAGAACTTCGTATGTACAAACATCAGTTCGAGTTTTCATAACACGTTAGCACAAAGATACGATTGTCGGTTCGAATCCTGTAGTGGTAGTGGTAGTAAGAGTATAAGCAGTAATCGGAAGATTAGGGTTCGAAGATGTTATTAAAGGAGTATAATCCAGTGAAATAAATTTTGAAATAGAAAAAAAGAAAGGGACATGAAGAATTCAGAAGATTAGAATTTGGGAGAACACAAAAAGTGTATGCACCTACGCTATTACAAACGATTTTGATCCATGTCACTCAGGGTCTCTAACCATCGGTTGTTATCGTCTGGAGGATCCCAACCAGATAGTCTACACCTACCAACATGGCTCAGTCCACTTGTCAGTGACTTCATGGACTTGTTCCATGTTTTGGTCTTGCCGCTTCTAGCTTTCTTCAAACCTGCTCCAGAATTTAGAGCTAAGGTTTTCTTCACTAGCTGACACTAGCCATCAAACGGAAGGAGTTTGTAACCATATAAATGTTATTGCCCAAAACCGCCGATCAGAGGCATCAAATTATCGATCGGATCAAGGACGCGTAAAACGTGCGAGCAGCCTAGAGTCCTGATTGGTCCTGCTTTCCGCGTAGCCCAGCCAGTTAAGTCCAGAACACTAGTCTCAGCCTCTGCAATATGAATCATATTCCAAACATACTGAGTTTATATACCAATCAAACAGACCACAACGTAACATAAAATAGAAAATAACATTTGTACAAAATTTGGCCAAATGTGAATGTGTGAGGCGGTGACTAATAGACAGCGCATAATTGAAGAATGGTAAAACGTATAATAATGGTTCACAGGTCAAAATAAAGTTTATAATAAGAGGAATATGAATATGAATAGTTTAGTTATTTAACAATTATACGATAAAAATGTACGTATAGTATTGGTCTATAAAAGGATCCCAAAGTTACCACTCATTATGTTTATCGGGACCTAACAATAAATGAATACATTACACTCAAAATCTTAGGAGGCATTATCTGAAATCTGATTGTTTTGTTTATAAAGCATGGTACCACCATATAAAGGTTTCTTTCAGGATTAGAATTTAGAGACTTACCTGTTATATACAGTCTATATAGAATTAATTGAACATCTAACATGTTTTACCATTTTAAACGTCCTGAGCATTAAGAAGAGCCATTTTTACTGTTTGTCACATATGATATGATAAGAGTCATTCATGTTACAATTCTACGCAAAAACCCAACAGTGATTTTCTCTTTCATGATTATTGGCTCCTTTTTAAACTATACTTTTTCCAACATTTAATAATACTTTAATAGTTACGATCATGAGTCAATTGAAGCTAGACCATCATGAAAAACCTGGAAGTACTAGACTGTTTCTTCCTATTATAGGACTCCTCAGTAGTTCGCATCCAGTGGAATTAATCCGTGTCAGGTAGAGACAGGTATCTACCTCCCGACCGAAGCTGCTACCTTGACGCGGTGGTCGGGCTTGCCCATCGTGATGACCCAACCGAGCTATATTGGCTGGAACATATGTTCCTATAGGTTCTACCATGCCAGACAGGTCGATTGGAGAACGGTAAGACTAAAAGCAGCAACTCAAGGTCTGAGGGCGAAGTCGTACTGCTGACTGTAGAGAGGTGTGGCAGCAGTAAGGTGTTTCCCTCGGACAACCAGCACCTGCAGCGATGCTGCCTTCCCACAAGGAGGGGTGGGGTTAGAAAAGGTCGACCCTAAAGATGTCACACCTCACCTTACCCCACGGATTTCCGTCTCCGGCGATAAGGCCCTTTGAAGAACGGAGCTAACACATTAAAAACCTTCCACGAAAAGGCCGTGCGCGACCGGCCTCAAGCAGTTGTCCCTTGGGCTCTGCGGTCACGCTCCCAGGTCTTTAAGACCAACACTGATCCAATTTCCTTTTCAGGTTCCTCAAGAAATATCCTTCCACGGTGTGGGCAGCCGGAAAGTGATATCAGCCCTCATACCCGTAACAGCACACGAGACCAAGTTGGTCACATTCAAATCCTTCCTACATCTCCTAATACCTCTCTTATCTCCATGACTAACCCTCCTCACGTCTCTTTATCACCTCGCACCACTAGGGCAAACGATTCGAGTACGCGGAACGTTATTCCTGGTCTCCTGAAACCACGCTCTAAACTACACGTAGGAGCTTTTAACGTCCGAACACTGTGCCAAATAGGACAGCAGGCTTCCTTAGCCAAGACTTTAGAATCCCGCGCCATCGATGTGTGCTGCGTCTCCGACTGTTAGCGAAACACTCTCAGAGAAAGATGGACATATTATACATTCTCAATCCAGGAGATTGAATCGATAGGCAGAACACTTTAGGGATCAGTTCAACTGGCCTTCAGCCACACTTCGGTTTCCCACGATCTCCAGTCAACCTGAATGACAAGTTAGTGTAGGTCCTCCGACTCTTTACGAAGTTGAAAAAGCCATAGGAAATCTGAAGCGAGGAAGAGCAGCAGGCCCTGACAGGTTTACTCCTGAGATTTTTAAGGATGGTGGTTCAGTATTAGCAGTGAGATTAACTGAGGTCTTAGGTAGAATTTGGGAACTGGACGTAATCCCATCTGACTGGTCTCAATCACTGATTGTGCCAGTCTATAAGAAAGGACAAAAGTCCTCTTGTGACAATCACAGAGGAATCAGTTTGACAAATATAGTATCTAAAATATTAGCTTAAATTATACTTCGACGCCTAACTAAAGCTCGTGAAGAGCAGACTAGAGAAAATCAGGCTGGTTTTCGACCTGGACGTGGTTGTATAGATCAGATATTCACACTACGTCAGGTTCTAGAACATAGACACACATTCAGACGCCCCACAATGGTAGTGTTTCTCGACCTTAAGGCGGCATTCGACTCTGTTGATCGTGAGGTTCTATGGCAGTGTTTGTCACTGAAAGGAGTACCAAAGAAGTACATTAACCTTATAAAGGCTCTCTACTCGAACAGAACTGGTAGAGTAAGAGCTTATGGCGAACTGTCATCAGAATTGATTACCTCAAGTGGTGTTCGTCAGGGCTGCCCACTCTCCCCATTCTTGTTCAACTTTGTCGTTGACGTACTTCTAGAGATAACACTTTCCTCGTCTAGATTTCCAGGGGTTGAACTTCTACCAGGAGGTTCACTTGTTGACTTAGAATATGCAGATGACATAGTTTTATTTGGTGAAGACGCTGACAAAATGCAGAGTCTTCTGACCACTCTAAGCAACAATGCAAGCATGTTCGAGATGCGATCCTCCCCCTCGAAATGCGAAATGTTGCTTCAGGATTGGGTTGCATCGACACCTCAACTAATGATAGGGAGTGAAGTAGTTGAGCGTGTCGATCGATTCACTCATTTTGAAAGTCTCATCAGCCCTTGTGGCCTGGTGTGTGACGAAATCTCAGCACCGATACAGAAAGCTCGACTAGCTTTTGCCAACTTGCGTCATTTATAGCTTAGGCGAGATATCCGTCTATCAACCAAAGGACGTGTTTACTGCGCAGCAGTTCGTTCCGTCCTACTATATGGTTGTGAAACATGGTCATTAAGAGTAGAGGATATTCGTAGGTTACTGGTATTTGATCATAGGTCTCTTCGAAGTATTGCTCGTATATCGTGGGACAATTGAGTAAGTAACGCAGTTGTTAGGAAACGGGTACTAGGTATGGCAAATCAATTGATGACGTTATTATTTATTTATTTTAACACATAGATATTGGTACAAGGCGGCACCAAATACATATGCGCCACACAAATCTCATTCGATATGTGTGAGGGTTGTGATACTGCCTGGGTGCCCAAACCGAAGCAGGTGGTTATCCTAGGGGGCCACACTCGGAGCTTTCGACCTGAAGTTCTGATCCACAAGGCAGTGGAGCATCGTAAGGAGATCCAGTCCCATGGAAGCCGGTGACCAACAATTGGTTAATACGCCATTTGTTCCTGCAGGATACTGGAGCCCATGTGCACCATTGGTTTGGAATCCAGTTAAAGCGCCGGACATTCGCTTTTCGTCCTCTCATTTTCGTGCGAGAAGGCAGTGAGTAGGACTTCCCTGGCAGAGGCTATATATGCGTGGCCATATGAGAGCATTTCGAGAGGGAGAGCGGACTCTCCCCACTCTCGGCCGTACCAGAGCATTTTGGGGCTCAAAGTGCCCATAGCACGAGGCCTCGCCGAGACGTAGTGAAACTTGATCAGCTGAGATGCCTAGGACATGTGTTACGTACGCCCAACAACCGACTGCCTCGACGTGCGATGTTCAGTGGTATAGGAGTAGGTTGGAAGAAAGCTAGAAGCGGCCAGACCAAAACATGGCACAAATCCATGAAGTCACTGACAAGTGGACTGAGTCATGTTGGTAGGTGTAGATTATCTGGTTGGGGACCGCGAGATGATAGCAACCGATGGTTAGAGACCCTGAATGACATGGCTCAAAATCGTTTGCAATGGCGCAGGTGCATCCACTTTTTGTGTTCTCCCAAATTCTAATCTTCTGAATTCTTCATGTCCCTTTCTTTTTTTCTATTTCAAAATTTATTTCACTGGATTATACTCCTTTAATAACATCTTCGAACCCTAATCTTCCGATTACTGCTTATACTCTTACTACCACTACCACTACAGGATTTGAATTGACAACTGCATCTCTGTGCTAACGTGTTATGACAACTCGAACTGATATACGTACGTATGAAATTCTACGTTGTTGACTGACTGATATTTAATACAACATTAGTTTTTTCTCAAGAGTGATTTAACATTCATGAATATTCAATCGTTTTTTATAAATAAATAAAAATCTTCATTTTAGTGTCCATTTCACTTACATTACCATCATCTCCTTCTGTTCATGAACAATCTTTATCATCTGTACAGAAAGTCAGAACACAAAATCTAACCAATCAGTTATCCCAAGAATTTCAAGGTCAACATAAACGACTTTGGGCTCAAATTCGTTCTGCTTTAGAATCACCATTTCAACATGAGTAAGCAAATCTTAGGAAATATATGGGTCGTTTTAGATTATTAATGATTAGCTTCCTAAGATTTCTGTAACTTTATTCCCTTTGAATTCAATATTTTTGAAAATCTTCAGCTCTACATAAATACCTTTTTATCAGTGTGGGGTTGTGGAGATTGTTACGTTTTTGATTGAGATCATCAGTCGATCAACGTTAAACCATTAATGAAAACCTGAAAGTACTTGGCAGCCGTTTTGTCGTATCATAAGACTCCTCAGTAGTGCGCATCCAATGAAGTTAATCCGTGTCAGGTAGAGACAGGTATACACCTCAGACAACGGAAGATGGTCGCACAATTTCGTGGATTGGTTGAAGTCAGATATTAACACCATTGAATCCCGACTCACTAGTCTAGTGGTTAAGTGTTCGCGCGCAGCAGGATCACAGGTGTGTACACATATATGGATTCATGACCTCAATAAAAATACCGTTTAAGTGAAAGTAGAACCAATTATAATTAATAATCTTAATCCCTCCACCCGTTACTGAAATGAGGAAGGGAATTTATTATTTATTTATTTGAACACATATATATTGGTACAAAGGTGCACCGAATACATATGCACCACATAAGTCACTTGATTTGTCTGTGGGCTGTGATGCTGTATGGATGCCCAGACCTAAGCAGGTGGTTTTCTTAGGCGGACACACCCGGAGCCTCCGACTTAAAGGTCTAGTCCACAAGACAGTGGAGGAACGTTAGGAGGTGCAGTCCAATGGTAATCGGTGACCAACGATTGGTTTATACATACACCATCTGTTCGGTCAGAATCTAGGAGCGTATGTGCACCGCTGGTTTAGAATCAGGGTTTTCCAACTCCCTTATATAGATAGTCCATACCAACCAACCCGATTAAAGCGCCGAATATTCGCTTTTCTTGCTCTCAATTGCGTAAACAACAGTAATGCCGCGAGAAGATGGTGAGTAGAACTTCTCTGGCATTGGGTGTATGCACGTGGCTATGTGAGAGCATTTGGAGAGGGAGAACGAGTTCTTCCCACTCTCGACCATACCAGGGCATCTGGGAGAGAATTGTTTACCTACTTTACAACACCTTTAAAATAATGCTTGAAACTTGTACATGTTCAACTAAATTTGGCAAGCAAGTTTACTGTTTATTAATTGTAGATATACAAATCATCAAAGGCAAACTACTAATGAAAGGATTTCTCCTGTAGTACTTCTCATTGTCAATCGTTGTATACATTCAATTGTCAATGATCAATCTAAACAACATCATTCTACATTTAATCACAATGAAAATGGATCATTTCATTGTTTTATTACACGTCTTGGTCAATTAGTTAATCATTTATATTTGTCAAATTCTAAAAATTCATGTTCAATTATAAAAGCTCACCAATTGGACTCTTTAAATAAACAAAAGGTTAGTAATAATTATTATATTGATCAGTTATATTTATTCATAGTATGGGACTCTTCAACAGTGCGCATCCAGTAGAGTTAATCCGTGTCAGGTAGAAACAGATATCTACTCCAGACAATAGAAGATGGTTGCGTAATTTCGTAGACTGGTTGAAGTTAGACATTAACACCGTGTTGTTAGCTGGTTTAAGGAAATATTGGATTTATATTTATTCTCCCATTGGATAAACCTCATGGCTGATGTTTGAAAAAACAGAGCCAATTATTTGTATCAATGTTGAGATTTATTCAATCAGTAGCTACCATTGAATGTTATAATTAAGATGGATCAAAATCTATTCACTTTTCGACATGTTATATGTTGTAATTGTTGAGAAGTCTGGAAGCCTGATTAGCCCTAATGGGTTGGTGTCTGACGAAATCTCTACACCGATTCAGAAAGTTCGTTTGGCTTTTGCCAACTTGCATCACTTATGGCGAAGACGGGGTATCCGCCTATCAATTAAGCGACTAGTATACTGTGCAGCAGTTCGTTCTGTTCTACTTTACAGCTGCGAAACGTGGCCATTAAGAGTAGAGCATACTCGTAAGCTACTACTATTTGATCACAGACGTCTTAGAAATATAGCTCGCATCTGCTGGGATCACCAGCTAAGTAATAGTGAGGTTAGATATAGGGTATTAGAGAATGATGGTAAATCAGTTGGTGAGGTTGTAAATCTTCATCGACTGAGATGGTTGGACCACATGAACACCGGTTACCACGACGCGCAATGCTGACTAGTGTTGAGGATGGTTGGAAGAATATTAGGGGTGGCCAAACCACAACGTGGTATCAGTCCAAGAAGTCACTAACTTGTGGTGTGAGCCATGTGGATGGTGGATGCAGACTACTTTGTTGGAGTCCGCGTGACTATCATAACCAATGGTTGGAGACTGTGTGTGTGACATGACTCAGAATCGATCACAATGGTGTAGGTGTATACACTCTCTGTCTTCCCTTAAACTATGAGACTAAAATTATTTTATATCTTTCTTTCTACGAACTGATTCTTTCTTCCTGTATTATATCTTTATACACAATCTTTCTTTTATATAGTACTACCATTGAAGTGACTACTTTTATGAGTTTGGTGTTCATCTTGTTGTGCTAATGAGGTGTTGCAACTTCCACTGATGCATATATGTGGTCGGTCCTACGTTATAACTGACTTAGAAGACTGGGTTTTAATGTATGAATGAGAAGCGTACTTACTGCACCGATGAATGTTGCTAAACTATTGAACGTGAATATTACATTTCTCTTTGATATCATACTACTAACTAAAATGGTTATATGCTCATGTGGCAGTTTAACATTTAGTTCACTCACTTCTAACTAATAAACCTTGGTTACAGTCAGCATGGTAACGCGATTCACTGATTAGAGTTGTTGAGTGGAATGTTTCACTATTGGTCACAGTAGTCCAAATGTTTTCATTCTGTATCTTCCTTTTTGAATGCCAGTAATTCTTCATTTCATATTTTCTATGTTTAATCTTTCTCGTTACCACTGTTACTACATTAGAAGTAGTTTCATTTCTAATTATCACTCAGCTTTTGTTATCAATAAATCTTTGTAACGGAGGGAGGGGGGCGGAGAACGGGTTGGTTAAGTAGTTAAAGTGTTGAGTTGTAAGTTCGAATCTTAATTTCTCTCTCTTTTTTTTTCTTACTCAGTTTGATCAAATGAAATTAGACTTTGACAATCAACTTGACAACTTATATAAATCTGGTGAACGTTGTTTTCATTTCATTTCAATTGATCTACTGCCAGTTGAAATTGTTCTATTATTTCATGGTTATACAGATACAGAAAATTCAATTTATTCCAATTCCATTTTATTAATAAGTTTATCAAAAAGATTTGATGTATTGTAAGTTATGTTAGATGTCGTTTTTAAATATGATTGAATTGTTTCTAATTATTATTATTATTATAAATGTCAAATCAACTTGAGTGTTGTTACTAGGTGGTGATAAATCATTTATTGATGTTGTGGATCCATCATCAAGTAAGATGACATTCAATGGTAGCTAGTAGGTTAGAGGAAGATCGGGGGCAGTTAATCTAAAACAAGTCATCAGTTTGTGAAGTCACTGATATTTGATTTCATTTGTATTAATAAATATGCAAGATTCGTGGTTGGGACCCATTAGATTTTCAACTATTAACTTACTTATTTACGCTTGTTACTCCCAATGCAGCATAGGCTACCGACTAGCATTCTCCAACCCACTCTGTCATGCGCCTTCCTTTCTAGTTCTGTCCAACTGTTGTTCATTTTTCTCATGTCTATCTCCATTTCCCGGCGTAATGTGTTCTTTGGTCTCCCTCTTTTCCTTTGGCCTTGACGATTCCATGTGAGGGCTTGCCTTGTGACGCAGTTGGGTGCTCTCCTCAATGTTTGCCCTATCCACTTCCAACACTTATTCCTGATTTCTTCCTCCGCTGGGATCTGGTTTGTTCTCTCCTACAATAGGTTGTTGTTGATAGTGTCTGGCCAACGGATCTGAAGTATTTCGCATAGATGACTGTTAATAAACAATTGTATCTTCTGGATGATGGGTTTCGTAGTTCTCCAAGTTTCCGCCCCATACAGTAGAACTGTTTTGACATTTGTATTGAAAATTCTGACTTTGGTGTTGGTCGACAGACAGTTGTTTTGAGTTCCAGATATTCTTCAATTATAGATATGCTGCTCTTGCTTTGTCGATCCGTGCCTTCACATCTGCATCAAGTCCACCGTGTTCATCAATCATGCTGCTCAGATATGTAAAGGTTTCTACATCTTCCAAAGCTTCTCTGTCAAGTGTGATTCGATTGTTGCATGGTGTGTTGTATCGGAGAATCTTGCTTTTCCCTTTGTGTATGTTGAGACCTACTGATGCTGAGGCTGCTGCTGCTACATTGGTCGTCTTCTCCTTCACTTGTTGCTGTGTGTGATAGAAGACCCAGATCATCAGCGAAGTCTAGATCGTCCAACTGCATCTTAGATGTCTATGGTATCCCGCGCTTCCCTTCAGACGTTGACGTCTTCATGATCCAGTCGATCACCAGAAGAAAGACAAAGGGTGAGAGTAAGCAACCTTGCCTGACACCGGTCTTTACCTCGAACGAGTCTGTCAATTGTCCTCCATGCACGATTTTCCAGTTTGATCGACCATAAGAATTCCGTATGATATTTACTATTTTCTCAGGTACGCCGTAGTGTCGAAGGGGCTTTCATAGTGTTGTCCTGTCCACGCTATCAAATGCTTTTTCGTAGTCAATGAAGTTGATGTAGAGTGATGAATTCCATTCAATTGATTGTTCCACAATGATCCATATTGTTGCGATTTGGTCTGTACACGATCGATCATTATGGAATACAGCCTGTTGGTCTCCAAGTTGGGCGTCTACGGAGTCCTTCATTCTGTTTAACAATACCCTGTTGAAGACTTTTCCTCGTATTGAGAGAATAGTGATTCACCTGTAGTTATCACAGTTGCTGAGATCGCCTTTCTTTGGTAATTTGACCAGAAGTCCTTCTTTCCAGTCTGTCGGTAATACTAACTACAATTATCTTAAGTTATATAACTTGAAATCATTTGCTATATTCATTTGCCGTTATCTCATGTCTTTTATTCGTTCTTCTATCACATATGATATTACTGTTTTGACTCATTTAATTCGCATGGTCGGAGGCTCCAGGTGTGACCACATAAGAAAACCACCTGTTTCGGTTTCGTCACCCTACGAATTCTTGCTCGAAATTCGAAAATATTTTGAAGTGAGAAATTGTAACTGGTTGACTTAAAATATGTGACTGAAATGCTTATCGACAATGGCATTCAATGATTGTCACACTACTTCACAAATTAATTGAAGTTTTCAGTTGTACCGTTGAATGTCAACTTAACGGTTGTAATGGTTAAGCATTCTTCATGAAACCTAAAGGTCCTAAATGCGACTCTGTGATGATGAGGTTATGAATGGGCATTACTGAGTAATCTAAAACTAGTGCTAAAGTATCCTAATTGAGATTAATCTGTGATCAATACAAACTACACAATAGATCAATTTCGATTAAACCCTTTTCAACTATACACTTGTTGTTGTTGTTTAATTATCTTTTTTTCCCATTCAAGTGAATCATTGAATTGTACAAAAAAATCAGAACATATTTTACCTGGTTGTCAAACAGCTGGACAATTTGAACATCAAGTTAATCAGTTTTTACGTTCTTTATGGAATAAATACTTGGGTAATGAAGAGGTGGATGCATTAATTTCACGTTTAACTACCAATATTATTATATTTCATACATATGATGATGATGATGATGATATCCAATAGATGATAAAAACGGTACCATTTTTACATAACAGATGTGTAATATGAAACTTACTTTGTATGAATAAGAACAGTAAATAAAAATCTTAACTTTGTATTTTCATTCATTTTTTGTTTGGGTTTCTATTTATGTTGCTGTAACTTTGTAGTGTGTGGTACTGATATCGACAGATATAAGTAGTAGTATATGTTATATCCGAGCGAAGTTTAAATCACGAGTAACTTCTGAGCCAAATTAATTGGCTAATATTATCTATATATATTCTTATGGTATAACTACTCAGTAATTAGATTATGTATATCTATATTCCCCTTGTTATAAGCTTCATTTTGACCTATATGTTATTATTGTATGATTTACGGTTCTTAAGCTATGTTCAGTTTATTGACTACGGCCTCCCATGTTCACAGCCACTTTTTGGCTTTATTATGTACAAATGTTATTTCCTATTTTATGGTACGTTGTGGTCTGTTTGGTTGATATATTAAACCCAGTATGTCTGAAATAAATGATTCGATTCGCATAGTGTAAGCTGGTATTAGGATTCTGAACTTAAGTGGACGGACTAGGGGGACATAGGACCAATAAGGACGCTATGCCCCAAATGCCCTGGTACGGCCGAGAGTGGGGAGAGTCCGCTCTCCCTCTCGAAATGCTCTCATATGGCCACGCGTATATAGCCTCTGCCAGGGAAGTCCTATTCACTGCCTTCTCGTGGCATTACTGTTGTTTACGAAAATGAGAGGACGAAAAGCGAATGTCCGGCGCTTTAACCGGATTCCAAACCGATGGTGCACATGGGCACCAGTATCCTGCGGGAACAAATGGCGTATGAACCAATTGTTGGTCACCGGCTTCCATGGGACTGCATCTCCTTACGATGCTCCACTGCCTTGTGGATCAGACCTTCAGGTCGAAGGCTCGGGGAGTGGCCCCCTAAGAAAACCACCTGCTTCGGTTTGGGCACCCGGGCAGTATCACAGCCCTCACACATATCGAATGAGATTTGTGTGGCGCATATGTATTTGGTGCCGCCTTGTACCAATATCTATGTGTTAAAATAAATAAAGGCTGCTCATACCGGTCGAACGTCATTAGTTTGGCACAGTGCTAAGATTGTATAAGTCGTATTTTGATTGGTGGATAAATCACGTGATAAAAAGCCGGACATAAAGTCATAACAGTATGTATTCATCATCAATCGAAAGTGAAATGCCTGGAGGTGACAGAAAGTTAAGAAGATCAAATAAAAGAGAATGAGAACAAAGAATGATTGATATGGAAACAAAAGAACAATGAAGTGTGAGACAATTGATTAACATTGTGCAAACGAAGTATTTACTGTATGGTGGTTCTCAGATTTTACTAAGATGTTCTATAATTTTATCTATATACATTTGATTGTCCTCACTTGTGTTATTGTTCACTATACCCTTTTCTATTAAAATAGAGTTGAAAGGCAGTAGTCAAAATCAAAGTTTAACCCGTTAGGACCGAAGAATAAGGGTTCTGGGTTCGATCTCGGGTAGCTTTGCACTATTGAGGAATTCTACATTAGAAAAACAAAGATTTTCAAGGATTTCCACCCCCCCCAGTAGTTATCTAACTAAGATCAGTTGCATACAGCCTAAAATTATTGATATAATCACAAATAAATATTTAGCATTCCATTGCAACAATTGAGAACAAGATCAATAAACATCGTCAGAAATTTTTGAAGGAGCTAATTGATCATTTAACTTACAACAATCAGAAGGCAAAAAGATCATGACTGCTTTTTTAAAGTTCATAAATACAACTTTCTATTAAGATCTATAATTTCTATGGTGAATTCATCTTCTAAGTTGGTTCAGTTGTAAGCCGAATTATTAAGACTAATTCTTAGAAAAACTGTCGGCAAATAGTTTTAAAGGCGCATTTCAGTTTTCAAAAAAAGAGCAATTGAATGTATCAGGTATCTTTTGTTATGTGTTCATTATTTACTTGTGACATTATTTGAACTTAAGCAGCTTTTGTTTTATCAGCTACAAGAGGGGTATAGTCAAAACGTTCTTCAATAGAGCTAGGACGTTATCCTCAAAAGGGAAAATAAGTGAGGAACTGGCTATTCTGGAAAACCACTTCATAAAAAACGGATACTTGAATGGATTTTTTACGAGATATGAAAAAAATATCCCAAAGATGGTGAATAACCAACTGTTGAAAAGAAATCTGTCTTCATCCGCCTTCTGCTCAAGAGGGATGAGGTTTCAGGAAGAGTCAAGACGGCAGTGAAGAAAGCTTCCTTGCTGTTTAACTGGTTTCATTGTATAACAACAGACGTTTATTATACCATTCAAAGTCAGATCAATACTCTTCCAATGTCATCTCCAATTGTATTTATGAATTTACGTGTACCTATGATGCCAAGTAGATAGAGAGAAAAGCCTCTACTAAGTTTTCTGAACACACACCTAGGAACCTACAGTTAAACGACAGTAAAGCCTTTAGAAGCGCAATTGACAGACATTTTTTGTATGGTGGACATGAAATAAATGTAAGTGATGCATTCGGAATATCAATCTTACTCTATTTCACAGAGGCGATTGCTATCAAACGTTCACAGACTGACCTATTTATACACAAGGAAAGTTTCATCAGCTTTCCCTTGCCATAGTGATTAGATATTTGTCTAATAACCCTTGTTTAATTCTATTCATTTTTTCAACCCTGTCCCCAACATTTTATTTTTCTTCCTCCTGCTCATATTCATCTCTTATATAACTTTTGTGATGTTCGCATGCTTATTTATTTTATCGTTCTGGGCAATTACTCAACCATTTATTAGTTTCACTACCTTTACATAATCTGTGCATTATTACTTCCCAATATATAAATACATATCGATCCTGACTATGTTTATTCATACGCTTTTCATTTTAAATTCACTTGGTACTATTTACTTGAATCTTTCCATTGATATTTAGAACTGCGATTGATCAGTCTCTATTGGCATATGTGCATACTGTGCGTATTGCCTCGATATTGTCTTAATTCACAAGCACTATAAGCAAAGAAGGATAGTAGATAGCAGTGGAATTCAGGAAGCGCGTTTTGTTTTAAACATCAATGGGAAGATTCAAGCAAACAATACGAAGTGAATTTTTAACTTCACCCCATTGCACAAGCAAGTGGCTATCAGGATTGAGTGGATAGCGTGATGGCGTTCAAAGCGAACGATACTGGGTTTGAGTCGCAGAGTGAACACCAACTCGGAGATGCAAGTACATCCAGCTGACGAGTCCTAAATAGGACGAAACGCGCGTCTTGGATTCCTTTGCTACTTACTTACGCCTGTTACTCCTCGTGAAGGAGCATAGATCACTCACCAGTATTCTCCATCCAACAGTTGGACAGTGGCTAGCAGAGGAATAGGCTCAGTGGTCTTTTCCTCTGCTAGCCACTGTCCAATTGTTTATTTTGCATAAAAATATCAGCTACTTATGAGTAGCCTAATTGCAATTGCGAAAAAAACGGACCACGTGACTGGATTTTATCTAGTGGTTGGAGATAAGAAAACCACTACTGCGTTTCTTGATTGTTCTGTTGAATTTTTGTTTCAGAAAATATGATAAAAATATCAGTAAATACATAATATTGACTTTTATTGTTAACAACAATAGCAATAGTAACAATGAATCTCAAGAGAAAAAAAAATGTCAACACAAAAATATGATAATGATAAGGCAAGTAAATTGAATGATGCAAGTAGGGAAGGAGAAAAAAAACAAACAAACGATTAATTAATGAATGATATCCATAGAAACTGGCAACCTGTTGTTTTCTAGCGAAAAAAACAAACAAATAACGGTGACAATGCAGTGAAAAGACTTGAAACTCACACACAAGGGAGGGAGTGGGCAAGGACACAGGCTCTTCTGGACACACACACACACAGTATGAGTGACAGAAAAACATGGCGCACAATAAGAAGGCAATAATGAAAAGTTATGTATATGATAGAATTGATCAAGTGTGAAATTTATTGCTAAGTGACAGTTATTTGATGTTTTTAGAAGATAACTCAAATCATATTTGTAGTCGCAAATGATAAAAATATCATCTACGTACCTTTTATACAAGTCAAAGTTGTCAATAGTTGTCTTAAGTTGGTTATTATCATCCTGAAAATATAAGTATGTATATTTGCGATTGTACCTGGTTCTGACACATCTATATGTATATACAAATTCAACTGCTCCTATGAAGAAAGCTATATTGAGCTCACCTCCTTGGATCACCTTCCTTTGTGGTTCGGAAAGAGTACCATCAAAACAATAAACAGCTCTCTTCTATTACACTCGAACGATAGCGGTTATGTACTAGACAGAAATAGGTCATTTAAAGTGATTTATCGTATTCCTACTAGTTTTCCTTATGATTTTCAATCTTATCTCTTACACATAGCAGAAGCTATAGGAATTCGAGCTAACAATCCAAGTCTTTGTGTTGATAAGAGATTTGTAACACCTTTATTTCTCCTTTGGCCTTAGTGAATGATTTTTCTTCACCCCATTCCACCCTTCTCCTTTCTCTCAAATACACTTTCTTCTTATTACGTAATCTTATAATCTTTCTATGAATGTTATCTCAACGTCCATATTGAACTATTTCCCATTATTGATTCGAGCCTTTATTATTGCTTATCACAACTAGTACACTTGTCATCACACTATCAATCAGTACTTTTCTTTTATCATGTTTAGTTATGTAATAGATTACATAACTAAACATCATATCTGGATCCATTTCATGAACTATCGATTTGGTATCAGATACATTACTCATTTGAAATTCATCACTGAGTGATATACAATAAGTTAACTTACTCAGAAACCGGAGTCGTTATTAAACAAATTGACTTTAATGAAAATTATATAGACTTGTGGAGTTTTACAGTGATTTTCAACAGGACACTGAAACTTTCATGTTAAAGAAGCAGTTTTAACTATGACTATATTCTATCTGTCCATTATTAGCCATTCTAGGATGGTGGTGTTTAAAGATAATCGACAAGAAATCCTATACTTAGTTTTCGTGCTACTTGGCATCCGTCAGTAAGGTGTACTTATAATCTTTAGGGAATGGATTCTCCCTAGCATATCCTATTATATGTAACCTAGTTTCATAGTTAGTAACGTTACCACTGAATTATCCGAGTAGCGGCTAACATCATATTGAACTAAGATGTGTTTACAATTGATTAATCAATTAGCTTTCGTTGCCAAGACCATCAATGATGTTGATATTTATCAGTATTGATCTAGAGTTAAGTAATTTAAAGGAATTCTAGTCAACTCGAAGAATTTTTTTACTCATTTATTAGACGATTGACGTTACAAATCTGCTTCTGTTGAGGAGTTCTATAATAGGACGAAACGGTAGTCCAGTACTTCCAGGTATTCCATGATGATCTCAACTATTAAATAAATTTATTTCAATATTTATTTGATTATAGATTAGCATAATATCATGCTTAATGTTAGATTATGTATGTATTTAGTTTAAGCTTAAAAGAAAATAAAGCCTACTATAAACTAACTAACTATAGACTTTACATACAGAGGATAATATTGATTTATAAAACATCTGAACTTATTACATAGTTCGATTTATACATGAAGAAATCACATACCTTTTAGTTACATCTTTTGTAATTGTACTATCTTCATATAACTCCGCCTGGAGCCCTTTCGGGGGCTACTGCCGGTTTAAAGTCCGGATAAAAGACGAGGGTCGGGCATGGAGTTAACGACACCATCCCATAGAAAACCAACTCGTCAAAAAAACGCTAACCAGAAAAAATTATTAGTTAGAAGGTTTTAATTCAGAAGAGTTATGATGCCTCATGGTGACAACCAAGTTCCTTCGGAAGTCACGAGGCTGATGACCCTTCTGACAACCAGAGCAACCATTAACTTAGGTACATGAAATGTTCGTACAATGTGGGAGACCTGGAGAGTCATCTAAATTGCTGCAGAAATGAAAAGATACAACCTGGAGTTGCTTGAAATCAGTGAAACACATTGGACGCAAGTTGGACAAAAAAGACTAGTTCAGGGGACCTGCTGTTATATTCTGTCCATAAAGAAGAAAATGCTCCACACACACAATGGGTTGCGCTGATGCTATCTTCATATACCATGTAATGTAAAGCATCAAATTCATTGTTAACAAGAATCGTAGGAGTAGTAATCAAACTGTAGCTGTAAATAAATCTCCACAATAAATGGTTCTGAAAGTCCTCGACATTTGATGCTGACCACATTATTTCCAATAGACAGATCTAGCTGAAGGCGCTCGGTCATACATCTGCACCAGACCACAAGTGGGTACGTTGTGCTTAACTTCCCCTAAACCCGCTAACCAGTTTAGATCCATCACTTCTCAATATACTGATAACTTATCAGGGCCGCATTCCTACAAGTGAAGAACATATGGAATTCAAAACAACTTTCAACCAATATCAAAGTCACAATCTTCAATACGAACGTCAAGACAGTTCTACTGTACGGAGCTGAAACGTGAAGAACTTCCACAACCATCATCGAGAAGGTACAAGTATTTATAAATAGTTGCCTACGCAAGATACTCATCAGGAACAGCCTACTGTGGGAGAGAAATAACCGGCTTCCAGCTGAACAGGAAATAAGGAAAAGACGATGGAAATGAATGAGACACATATTATGGAAATCATCAAACTGCATGACAAGGCAAGCCCTACCTTGGAATCCTGAAGGGAAACGTGTAAAAGGAAGGCCAAAGTACATACTACGTCGGAAAACAGAAGTAGATATGAAAAGGATGAATAGCGACTGGAAAGAACTGTAAAAGATTGCCCAGGATAGGATTAGATAGAGAGTGCTGGTGGGCGGCGTATGCTCCTGCACGAGGAGTGACAGGCGTAAGTAAGTAAGTAAGTAAGTATCAGATATATCTTTGAACCTCTCCACTTCCGACTCCTGATTTCATTGGGTTGGCACGTTTCGATTATAGAAGTTGTTATTGCTTAAAGTGTTGTTAAAATTCAAATCCTTGCGGCATCTTCAATTTCTTTTCAAATAGCTTCCATATATTTTCGCTTATATTCTTTCTATTATCAACAGTAATATCTTTTTAGTGGTTAGTTTAATTTGCTTTCCAAATGCCCTGGTACGGCCGAGAGTGAGGAGAGTCAGCTGTCTCTCACGGAATGCTCTCACATGGCCACGTACATACAACCATTACCAGGGAAGTCCTATTCATTGCCTTCTCGAAGCCGCGGTGTTGTTTACGAAACTGAGAGGACGAAAAGCGAATGTATGGTGCTTTAACCAGGTTGCTGATCACGGAAAGTCCACCTACGGTAGTTGGAAAACCCTCATTCCAAACCAACGGTGTACTTGGGCTCCAGGATCCTAAGAAAACAAATGGCGTATGAGCCTATTGTTGATGACCGGCTACCATGTGATTGTATTTCCTCACGTTGCTCCACTACCTTGTGGACTAGACCTTTGGGTCTAAGGCTCTAAATGTGTCCCACCAAGAAAACCATCTGATTCGGTCTGGAAACTGGGGCAGTTTCACAGCCCTCACAAAAATAAAATGAGTTATGTGTTTAAACAAATAAATACATAATAATAACACTGTTTCTCGCTAAATTGTCTTCAGTTTGTCTTCGCTTCATTTTGTTTTGTCGTCTTTTTTTCTCAACCGATCCCCTTATGAAATCTAGTTTAGTTTAAATTGATTACTTACTTACTCCTGTGACTCCCAAAAGAGCGTAGGCCGCCAACAAGCATTCTCCAACCCACTCTGTCCTGAACCATCCTCTCTAGTTCCATCCAATCGTTGTTCACCCTTCTCATGTCTGTCTCCGTTTCTCGATCTTCCTTTTCTCCTTTGAATTTGAGGATTCCATGTGAAGGCTTGCCTTGTGATGCAGTCGTGTGCTTTCCTCAGTGTGTGCCCTATCCACTTCCAACGCTTCTGTCTGATTTCTTACTCCTCTGGAATCTAGCTTGTTCTCTCCCACAGTAGGTTGTTGCTAATAGTGTCTGATCAACCAACGGATCCGAAGTATTTCTCATAGACAACTGTTAATAATTACTTGTATCTTCTGGATGATGGGTGTCGTAGTTCTCCATGTTTCCACCCCATATATTGGAACTGTTTTGACATTCGTATTGAAAATTCTGACTTTGGTGTTGGTCGACAGACAGTTGTTTTGAGTTCCAGATATTCTTCAGTTGTAGATATGCTGATGTTGTTTTGCCTATTCGCACATTTACATGTGTATCAGATCCACCGTGTTCATCAATGATGCTGCCTAGATATTTAAAAGGTTTTTACATCCTCCAAAGCTTCTCCGTCAAGTGTGATTCGATTGGTGCGTGTTGTGTTGTATCGGAGAATTTCGCTTTTCCATTTATGTATGTTGAGATCTACTGCTGTTGAGGCTGCTGCTGCTGCTACACTGGTCATCTTCTTTCTCATTTGTTGTCGTGTGTGCGATAGAAGAACCAGATCATTTGCGAAGTTTGATTAGTATATCTTAAAACAAACATTCATTTGATTACATCATCATCATCATCATCATCATTCAATGTTGACTAGATCTTCATTGATGAACATAATACTATAACTATATCCATCATATTATAATCATAAACTTTGTACCCCAATATTGTGTATAGATCAACATTGGTACAATGGTTTCTTGGCACAACTCTTAACACAATTCATCTCATCTATTGATTGTAGCACAACAGGACAAAGATTATTACACTTCATTCCAATTGTAAATCAACATTCATTCTTTAAATAGTTTAAACTATTCTCTATACAGTTTAAATACTTGTTGAAATAACTAACAGTAATCATATTATTATTATGAGTATTAGTAGTAGTATTATTAGTAGTATTGTGATTAACATTGAAAAGTGTTAATGAAGAATTATTTGATTAGTTCAATGAAATGTAAGTGAATAATAATGATTTAATGGAAAGTATTATATAAATTCAATTCATTTGATATTATTGTTTACTTGTATCTTCTCATTGATGTTTACGACTGCAATTGATCAGTCTCTTTCTTGCTGGTACATAGGTGCATCTTGTCTCTATATTGTCTGAAGTCACAAGCATTATAAGCAAAGATAGTTAATGGCTAGCATTGGAATCCAGTTTAATAAGCGTTTCGTCCTGCTTTGATACTCGTCAAATGGATGCACCTGTATCTGAGTGTTGATGTTCACTCTGAGACTGGAACCCGCTGTCGTTCGATTCAAACACCATTGTATTATCCACTTAGCTACTGAGTGTTAATAGCCACAGGGTTGTGTGATGAGGTGACGTTTAATTCACTTGTTATTGTTTACTTGAATTTTCCCATTGATGTTTAAGACTGCAATTGATCAGTCTCTTATTGGTATATGTGCATCCTGTGAGTATTGAATGGATATCGCCTTAATTTACAAGCTTTATAAGCAAAGATGAATAGTGGTTAGCAATGAAATCCAGTTTGACACACGTTTCGTCCTATTTGGTACTCGTCAACTGGATGCACATAAATCCAGAGTTGATGTTCGCTATCCATCTCTGCCTATAAAATTATTAAATTAATTTCAGAGTTTTACTTTCATATTTAATAAAAATTATATTTTAATTGTTGAACTCACGAATCAATTGAAGCCAGACCATCATAGAAAACCCGCCATGGAACTCTTCAACAGTGCGCACCCACGACGCTGTCTGCGAGACTCTAACCCAGGACCTATCAATCTCGCGTGCGAGCGCTTAACCCTTAGACTACCAAGCCGGTATTCAACGGTGTTAATATCTAAATTTGAATCTTGCGAGGCAGGGATCTTGGATACGCACTGCTGAGGAGTCCCGCAATAGGACAAAACAACCTTTCAATACTTTCAAGTTTTCCATGATGGTCTAGCTTCAATTGATTCATCAATTCAACTATTAAAATTACTATAACATCCTTTCACTGATTATAAAAATGATCTTCTTTTCACTATAGTTAAACAACATCTAGAAAGTGATCTAACACAATCGAATAGTAAACAAGTAGGTTATTGATGCATTTGTTTATTTAATTACGTAACAATAACATGAAATATTTAGATAATCATGGAACCAATTCAACGAATATCTGGTATCCTATTTTATATTAAGGTAAACTAATCCATAAATGATACTTCGTTTGAAAGGCTAGTGGTATAGCATTAATACAATTAATCATCATATGGGCAATGAATACTACTGTAATATTAGTGTGAGTTTATTTTATTCATTTAAACAATACATACTACTTATTATTCAGTCATACATTCAAGGGATGGTTACAATCTACAAACTGGTTTGTTGGATTGTTTTTGTAAGTTATTATTAGTATACTACTTTATCTGAAGTTTTCTTGTTGTGGTGGTAAATGTGTGTATATATGTAAATGATTAAAAAATTGAAGGAAAATTGGGCGAGACGATAATTTATGGACGAGCCAATCCGAGGCGTTTTAGAGATTTCAAGGTTGCAGCGCCAACTTCAATGCTTAATGATAACGTACAACCGGTTCACAGGGAATTTTGTACAAAACGTGATAACAAATAAAACGGCGAGACTATAATTTGTGGACGAAACAATCAGGCATAAGATAATAGATCACGGATTTAGACGCGAAAGCCTTTCATTCATTTGGCTAAACAGAGTTTTGGCTTTATAGCTGATGTTAGTTCGTGATGAAAACCCTATATATAATTCTTAACTAAGGCAAGGTACGACAATTATCGCGAACTGGATAATAAAAGCACCCGTAACACTGGCTGAAGCCAGGTACTACAATATATACGGATGCTTGGAGAGTGTACCGACTTCTACATAGGCTTGGTTGTGTGCACCGTTTCGTTATCCACAAGTAGCATTTTGTGCACTCAACAACCGGAGTGCACATAAACAATATTGAAGCTATGTGGTCGGGATTGAAAGAGTTTTTGCTGCCAAAGACCGACTGCTATGTAGCCATATGGATGATTTCCTCCTCTTTCTAACCTCAACAAGTTTTTGAACCACGTATAAGAAGTGTATCCACTTTATTTCCTTGGTTTTGTATAATAAATTTTTACTCTATACTGACTGTTTGCTGACTGGCTAATATTTCTCAAGGTCGCTTAAGATTCATTCAAGGTTCGTCCATAAATTAGAGTCTCGCCGAAAAATGTGTATATTGTTTGTAGATCATTAATAATGATGATCTATGCCGAATGATTGAGGATCTACTCGAGTTAGACAGGAATGGTGTGATGAACCAACGAACTCCGATGTCAGCATCTTACGTGAATTATCCCTTCGATATATCAAGGTACTATGGATGCTTTGAAGATTGCACATCACAAAGGACGTTATTACAGCAATATGTATATTAGTTAAATTAGGTGCAAGAGAGAAGTTGCTACCACCACTTTATGGACCAGTTCAAGGCATACGATAAATTGATGTGAGTTGGTTGTCCTTGATTTTAAAACAGTTCAATGGTCTGTTCGATATTCAGTAATTCAACTGCTGGATGTATTGGTTAGGGTTCAGGGATATTTCACTGGCCCTAAATATTCAAATATACAACATAACAGTTAAGTTCAATTGATGTTGCTTTACTTGTATCTTCCCATTGTTATTTAGGATTGTAATGGATCAGTCACTTGTTGGTATAGGATGAAACACACGTTCTGGATTCCACTGCCAGCCATTATCCATCTTTGCTTATAATAGTTAAATGTTTGTATTACTCTTAATTAACCGCACTTTTTAAGTAATCGACATGCTACCCAGTAATAATCATAGAATCCTAGTTCAATTTGACAATTCACCTGATGTTAATTACATTGAAGCGTCTAACTACACGATTGAGACATGCATGAAACCGAAGTTTAAAAAAAAAACAACGATTTGTCTAAATAAGGGTTCTTTATTGTGGAATAAACACAAATGGATTATAAACCTCAACTCGTGACATATATGTGTCAATTAACACACCTGTATTTGTGGGAGCAGAAAGGTTTCAAGAGAGTAAATGACAGCTGATAGCTGTGTTTAATGTCAACAATAGTTTGTTGTAGCAGTTCACGACGTCTAGACAGAAGTTACTTAGTGTACTAGGATAGTATGCAGATTAGCGTTACTGAAGAGGGTAAAGGTTAGACGAAAACTCAGCAATCATACACAATGCACTTACATTCACTACAGAAAGCAATCAGAAATAATACAAGCCTTAGATCTAGACAATTTCGCAATTAAAACCAGAAGCCGATGGTTTCACTCACTACAATATCAGCAACTAAAATGGCAACTAAGAGCACATAAATATGAAAACTGTTACGTTTAAGCAAAAGCTCAAAAGATATACATAACTGGAATAACTGATAATAACTACAGTAAATACTTTGGGGGATGACACCAAAAATAAACTAGCACCAAGTCATCCGATTAGAAATTACTATACATACAACCGTTTACTGAATATTAATAAGTAGTATAAAATAACAAACAAAATACAAGTCAAATTAGGCGTGAATATGGACAGGAAATGCAAGTGAACACCTAGTGTATTCTATTATGATTTGGATTGCAATGTTGCCATAAGTAACAATGTTTCGGTCAGATTTTCATTATTTAATCAAATCTTCCAAGATAAATAAAGCTAGAATAGTGAGAAACGTAAGGATATTAAAATCGAATATGATGGGAAACTAATAATACCGTAGGTGCAGTCAAATGTTGTTGAGATCTAGCCAAATCATCCGGCAATTGGGTCACTGAATATTGAATAGATCATCGATCCCTGTCATGGTCAAGGACAACCAACTCCGTCAGTTAATCATATACCATGAACTGGTCCATGAGGTGGTGGTCACAATTTCTCCTATGTACCTACATTAAATTATATATATATTGCTGTAATAATGGTCTTCGAAGAATCCATAGTACCTTGATACATCGAAGGGACAATCCATGTTATATTGCTGACCGCGAGGTGTGACTTCGACGTCCATCTAACTCGAGTAGGCCACAAATAATTTCGACAGAGATCACCTACGTTGGCGATCTTCAATACGATCATAGTGACAGAAATGTAAACGGATGTTTCGCTGATTAGTTCCATCAAAGTAATGCCAGCTTCTACAGTGAACTGATCGTGAAAACGATTGGGTACACTTCAATCTACTTTATATCAATAAGTAGTATGAATGACTCACAAAAAGTCAAACATGGATTTAAATATGATGAAAGTATCATAATACGATTCAATCGTAACTCCTGCCTCATTGTCATCAATTCAATTTACATTTGAAACCGCTGAATCCGTGATATAAGATGATCATTAAGCATTGTATTCAATGAATAACCATCATAATCCCTACATGATTTACCTAAATCCATCAAAGTATCGTTCGATCATTAAAATATCAGTCATTGTTTCTATATCATATTTAGTTTATTTAGAAATCATAGTGTGAAATTCATTTTGCTTATCGTTTTTAATTTTTCACATTAGTGTATTTCAATGTATATATGTGATTTGTGATTATTACAGCTTTTTGGCACTCTTTATTGATTTGGAAATCATTCTAATGCCACGTGTGCAATTTATTTTTCCATTGAATTATATACTATTGATATTCAATGTAAGTAGTTAGAAAAAACACTTGAAAATATTTACCATTAACATCATTATATGATTTGATGTCGATAGTGTATATATTTAAGTTGATTCCTTTTTTAATAATAAGGACACATTCATTTATATGGGCTATTCTCATTCAAAACATTTAGAGTCAATACATATAAATGATCAAATGACTGGTTAACTGTATGATTTCATTTCATCCTAATTAGTTGAGTAACTGAAGAATGTTTAGATTATCTCTTTTACCAGGTTCTAGAATTTCTAATGATGGTTTATAGAAAGTTGATATCTTATTCGGGACACTTAAACGGCTTCATGGAATTGACTTTGTAGCTGATATTAGGTAGTTGGATGTACTCATAAGGAAAACTTGAACATACGTTTTGTAATAGTTGGCAACCATAAGTATTTATAAATAGTTGTCTACGCAACATACTCAACATCCATTGGCTGGATACCATCAGCAACAGCGTACAGTGAGAGAGGACAAACCAGCTTCTAGCTGAACAGGAAATTAGGAAAAGACGATGGAAATCGGTAAGACATATATCACGAAAATCACCAAACTGTATGATGAGGCAAACCCTAACTTGGAGTCGTGAAAGGAAGCGGAAATGAGGAAGGCTAAAGAACACATTAGGTCGGGAAATAGAAGCAGATATGGAAAGGATGAATAACAACTGGAAAGGATTGCTTAGGATAGGGTTGGATGGAGAGTGCTGGTAGGCGGCCTATGCTCCTCCACGAGGAGTGACGGGCGTAAATAAATAACTAAATAATCAGTATACCACATTCACTTTGTTGACGAGTGTCTGCTAGTATAAAACTTAATTATAGCACTTCCTGTTAGTTGCACACAATCATCAAAATATACTGGCTGCAACACTATACTTGGTCATTTAGACTAGTGGAAATATTGCAAATTGAATGAAATGGTTCAGTCAGCCACTTTCAAATTCACACTTCATACATCACAATTGATTGATCACTGGGTGGTGATCAATGTCATGCTTGTCTAGTCCTTATTAGTGCAGATCGAATGCTATCGATCATGTTGCAATGTGGCCACCAGTCTAGGTGACTCGACACTGCGGGCACTATGTATTGAGATTTAGATGGTGGTTGCAGGTAGTCAACAGGAAACCCTGTTTCATACATCTATAATAAACTGACAGCTCAATTTGTTAATCAATGCTCGTTCATAGCTTCGTTCCATACATTTCTCAAACAATATCGTTCAAATAAGTATAGAGTAAAAACCAGTACAGTGAAAGATTTGAAAGTGACATTTTTCACTTTAATGTCGATTACTATTGTAGGGCCAGTGAAATGTTACTGAGCTCCAGCCGAATCATCTAGCAGTTGGGTTATTGAACATTGAAAAGATCATCGATCCCTGTCAAGGTCAAGGACGACCAATGCACATCTGTAAATTGTATGCCATCGACTGGTCCATGCGTTGGTGGTCACACATTCACTTGTACCTATTTTAACCGATATATATTACTATAATAACGTCCTTTGTGATGTATGGTCTTCATAGTACCTTGATACCGTAGTGAACAAAAACACGGGTGGGCACAAGAGAATGTATTTAGAACGAAAATTACAGACTATCTCAATAAAATCTGAATACCATAAAGTCAATCGTCAATCTGCAAAATATCAATGCATCATATCAAACTGGACTGTTTCCGTTTCAAACAATAATCCATTGTCTCCCATTCCATTGTAAATGCATTTTCTTACAAATTCCATTGTGCTCTCGCTCTTCCTCTCTTGATCTTCACCTCATCTTCTGCTGGTAGATATTACGTTTTAACTCGCGACATATACTACTTATATCAATATAAGTAGCACACACCACAATACGACCAAGAGTTAATCGACGTTAGATGCTGAACGCGATGTATGACTTCGATATTAACTGGTTGGTCACATTATTCTCGTGTAACTCGAGAAGGTGCCCAATCATTCAACTGAGATCATCAACGCTGATGATTTACACCATTCTGTCAAATAATACTACATTTAATTAAATAATGAATGATTATTCAGTAGATAGATGATCTGTCATGTTGATTCGCTATTCTATTTATTTCTTTTTGTTCAATAGTCGATCATTCTTTCAATTCCAGTTTCAAGGCTACTATGTGAATTGAAAACGTTATGGATTCCATGTAGTTGGGTTATTACATTGGGAATTACATTGCTGACTATAATATTTGGCAAATTAATACGTTTCGATATACAAACATCATTGAATATATTCCTTACTGTTATATTCACTTTACAAGCAATAGTTTATATTGCTATGATTATATTAAATTATAATAGTTACTTTGATGTAAGTAAGATAATTGTATAATTTAAACAATTAGAGAGGGGGGAGGTTGTAGAGATTTTAGTAAATTAAGGGATGAATTCATGAGTCAGTTAAAGCTAGACCACCATGGAAGCACTGGATGCCCCAGTGATGATGCCGGATAGAGATTAAGCATTCGTGCACGTGACTGATAGGTCCTGGATTCGAGTCCCTTTGGTGCGGGGTTGTGGATGCGCACTGCTGGGGAGTCCTATACTAGAACTTCTAGTGCTAGTGCTTCCAGGTTTTCCATGGTGGTCTAGCTTCAATTGACTCAGGAATTCAACTATTAAATTGCTTAAACCTCCACAAAACCCCTTTTTGATTATGATTATGAATGAACAGATGTTTGATAGGATAACTCTGTGGTATACTGATGATACCGGCTCAGTGGTCAAGAGGTTATGCATTCGCGCACGCGATCGATAGATTAGAGTCGTTTTGGTGCGGATCGTGGGTGCGCACTGCTGAGGAGTCCCATACTAGGACGAAACGGTCTTCCAGGTTTTCCATGTTGCTCTTCAATTGACTCATGAATTCATATATTGAATGCAAACAATCTTAATTGAATTCATTTATTGTGGATAAAGCAATAAGATATTGCCTTATGGAGTTGATTATCTAACAATTCGATATTAAAGACATTACACTCATTAGTTTTATATCTGTCGCTTTCTTTCCTATTCATGACAAACATCAATGTCATCCCTTTACAGTAATTTTTTGTTGTTGATAAGCTAGCCATTGTAAATAGACGGTTATCTTTATTATGTTTTCTAGCTACCACCTATTCCTGTATGTAAATGAGACTGATAATGAAGTGGTAGAATCAATACAATTAGAGTTGACCAAATTATGAACATATCAACGCATGAAGTACTGGATCACTAGTTAGATGCTTTTAGATTTACAGTGATTATTCAGTTAGTTGGTCAGTAATGATTATTGTCGCTGAATACTTTTCCTCACCTTACGCCTGTTACTCCCTATGGGGTATAGGCCTCCAGTCAGCATTCTCCAAACCACTCTGTACTGGGTCATCCTTTCTAGTTCCATCCAATTGTTGTTCACCCTTCTCATGTCTGTCTCCGTTTCTCGCCATATTGTGTTCTTCGGTCTTACTCATTTCTTTTCACCTCGAAGATTCTAAGTGATGGCTTGCCTTGTGACGTAATTGGGTGCTTCCCTCAATGTGTGCCCTATCCAATTCCAACACTTCTGTCTGATTTCTTACTCCTCTGGAATCTAGCTTGTTCTCTCCCACAGTAGGTTGTTGCTAATAGTGTCTGACCAACCAATGGATCCGAAGTATTTCACGTAGACGACTGTTAGTAATTACTTGTATCTTCTGGATGACGGGTTTCGTAGTTCTCCATGTTTCCACCCCATATATTAGAACTGTCTTATTATTTGTATTGAAAATTCTGACTTTAGTGTTAGTCGACAGACAGTTGTTTTGAGTCTCAGATATTCTTCAGTTGCAGATATGCTACTCTTTTTTTGCCTATTCGCACATTTACATGTGTATCAGATCCACCGTGTTCATCAATGATGCTGCCCAGATATATTGTCACTGAATAGTAAATCTAAATCTACACTTACTCATTCAGATATATAATAATAATGATAATTATTATTATTATTGCTATTGAATAGGTCATTTTCATTATTTCTGGATCAGGAATGCTATTGACAATCATTTATGTAAGTAATTTACAAATGTAATTTAAATGCTTGTTATCACTTGTTATGGTTGATATTAGCGGTGTCATTGATATATACAATGGCAGATTGTTAATGGATCCACTGAATGGTCGTCTCAACTTCTCATTTAGTAACAATTTGATTATATTACGGATAGAGTGTCCATCAATGAAACATAAAATGTGTGTTTCATTATGTTTAGAAGTTATGAACAGTTTCAATCTGAGTTCCATTAAGATGGAATATGTGCTCAAGATTTCACTATTAGCTTCCATTCAAAGTATATTAAAGGTTTCTGTATTCTTCATAGCTTTATTCCTTGTCGAAAATTTATTACTTATCATGGTAAATTCTATATTTAGTATTTTTAATCAAATATCACTACTGATTTTAAGCAGTTGTTTGTTTTAAGATATACTGATGATGATGATGATGATGATGATGATGATGTAATCAAATGAATCAAACTTCTCAAATGATCTGGCTCTTCTATCGCACACACGACAACAAATGAGAAAGAAGATGACCAGTGTAGCAGCAGTAGATCTCAACATACACAAACGGAAAAGCGAAATTCTCCGATACAACACAACACGCACCAATCGAATCACACTTGAGGGAGAAGCGTTGGAGGATGTAATAACCTTTTACATATCTAGGCAGCATCATTGATGAACACGGTGGATCTGATACACATGTAAAGGTGCGAATAGGCAAAACAACATCAGCATATCTACAACTGAAGAATATCTGGAACTCAAAACAACTGTCTGTCGACTAACACTAAAGTCAGAATCTTCAATACAAATAATAAGACAGTTCTAATGTATGGGGTGGAAACATGGAGAACTACGAAACCCCTCATCCAGAAGGTACAAGTAATTATTAACAGTCATCTACGTGAAATACTTCGGATCCATTGGTTGGTCAGATACTATTAGCAACAACCTACTGTGGGAGAGCACAAGCTAGGTTCCAGAGGAGTAAGAAATCAAGAAGAAGTGTTGGAAGTGGATAGGGCACACACTGAGGGAAGCACCCAATTACGTCACAAGGCAAGCCATCACTTAGAATCTTCGAGGTGAAAAGAAATGAGGAATACCGAAGAACACAATATGGCGAGAAACGGAGACAGACATGAGAAGGGTGAACAACGATTGGATGTAATTAGAAAGGATGGCCCAGGACAGAGTGAGTTGGAGAATGCTGATTATATGCCTATACCCCATAGGGAGTAACAGGCGTAAGTAACTAATTAATTACAGAAGAGTAACCGGTACTTGATCATCATATCGTTGGAGTCAATTTTTCAAGGTCTACACTTACATGTGACTTAACACTGTGTTGCACTTTGATTAATGTTCTACTACTGAAACCCATATTTGTTCAAGGTTTTGGGTGAATGTGCAAGTGTAATTACATGAGGCTGCTCTTTAAATTTTACCCTGTACATGCTATTCACAATCAAGTGATCTCAATTGGATTAACATTGAATATTATAGACTAATGCATAGTTATAACACGAACCAATTGTTATGGCCAATGTGTATGAATGAACGTTAGCTAGGTGTTTCTTTTAGTTGAAAATACTTCACGAGACTCAAAGCTCCAGTGTTCCATTCATGACATGTTAATGGATATGTACTTCTGAAAAGCTACATAAAAGAAACAATTTACTGTTTAATATATTTCATTATGATCAGTGTTATATCGACTGATGAGTATATGTGATAACTCCCACCTACACAATACTTTTACATGAATTACACAATTATTATATGAACTGTATGTCATAATGAGTAGAAAGTACTTGTGTACTCTTATCTGATTTTCCGATGCATTGAAGGGAGGTTTAAGGAATGGGTAATTGGTGTGAAATATTGACCGTTTGACAAATACAATGGTGAAGTAGGTAAGTTAATTGTTAGGGGGTGGAGTAATAAGAAAACATACATCCATACTTAAATAACTCACTACAATTTCACAAAACGCTTTTGTATTAATCATTTTCACATTCTGAAGTTAGCAAACTGAAAATGCCACAAGTATTTGGAGTTTAACAACAACACTTTAACCAGTAACACCTTCTATATTCGAAATGTGCCCACACAGTGAAATCAGAAGTGAAGAGGCTTATAAATATATTTGATAGACTATCAATGTATCGAGAACCGACTGATCTAGATTGGCTAGCGATTGTAAGGGATGTTGAGCACGGCGTTCCCACACGTGATCTGGTGCGGATGCATGACCGAATACCTTCAGCTAGATGAGTTCAGTATCAAATATCGAGGACTTACAGAGCTATTGATTTTGGGAACTTATTTACAGATACAAAATTAAAGAATAGATATTAACAGCCACCTGAACTATAATATTTTGTTCTAGTATGGGGCTCCTCAGTAGTGCGCATCCACGATCCCGCCTACTAGGTTGGAACCCAGGACCTATCTGTTTTCCATGGTAGTCTAGCTTCTAATAACTCATGAATCCCCCATCTGATTACAATATTTTGTGTTTACTCATTGCCGAGATTGAAATTCACAGTAACAGCACACATAAGTTAAACGATGGTTACAGACATAGTTTTTAGACAATTGATGATGATATTGATAAAATTATGTAAATGTATTTCAGGAATTGGCAATTGCAACTCAAGCAATTTTTCCAGGTGATAAACGATTCATATTTCGTGATAATCAATATTTTCTATGTGGATTAGTCCTTGCAACTATAATGATTTGGATGAATATGATTATTTCAAGTGAAATATTACTTATATACGATGTATTCAATAATACAAATCGATATATACCTATGTCTTCTCTATACACATTCACTGTTCATTGTCTATGAGTGTTTATAGTGTCGGTTGCTATGTTAAGCCCACAGATCTTATTCTAGCTGTTGGACAGGTCAATTTATTCATTTGTCTTGTGTCACATTTTGATTTTCTTAATTATTCACTTATCAAACTCCACTGTTATTATATGAGCACATTTGTGTGTGCTCTTCTTATCCTATTCATCCCATGTTCGTAGCTTATTGTTGTGTGACTATCATGATTGATCAACGCTTGACGACATGGGAGATGGCTCACATGCCTTCTCTACTGCACATCCTTTCGTTTCACTTCGCTCTCTCTTTTCTTCTCTTGCTTCGCTACGTTTTCTGAGTATCTGTTCAGATCAATGATTGCACGAAATATATGTATTTGAGATATCCATTCTCGTATTTGATTTAATTCCGTTATTCACCAGCATGATCTAAGTCGACAATTATATACGAGGAATGACGATATGTATATCTCAATAGCAATCAGAAACAATCTCACTGGAGTCAGATTCTGGGCCACTAAAGTAATGACCCGTTAACAACGTGGTCCGGTCTAATTGACATCTAAAGTAAGGGCCCCACTACACGTTGTCTTTTGTTATGTGAAACTGTTATCATGATCATAAGATCATTCACATTTCGTTTGCAATAATACTAGAAATTGTGACATCAATTTCTTCTTTTCCTATGTGATATTTTAAATGAATCTTTCCCGATTATAGATATGTGTTGTTCTTATTATGCTACATTTCTGTACGTCTTTAAGTTATTAAGCAAAGATGGATAATGGTTAGTAGTGGAATACAGCTTGACGCGTGTTTCGTCCCGTTTGAAACTTGTCAGTAGCTAAGTGGATAACGTGATGGCATTTGAAACGAACGGCACTAGGTTCGAATCCAGGAGTGATCATCAACCCTGCGGTGCAGGTACACCCAGCTGACGAGTCCCAAATAGGAGGAAACGCGCGTCCTGGATTCTACTACTAGCCGCTATCCATCTCTGCTTAAAAAGCTTATGACTTAAGGCAATATCGAGGTAATCCGCAAAGGATACACATACGCCAACAAGAGACTGTTCAATTGCAGTCCTAAATAACAATGGTAAGATCTAAGTAAATCAACAACAAGTGAATTTGTCTTTAAGTCATGTTTCCATTGCTGTGTATACGAAGTTGAACTGTTTCGTTTTATTCTGCTTGTTCTACCATAAATACAAAGTTCGCACACAATTTGTCTCTACCCTGTGTTATGCGCTAGTTCTTGTTATTGATTTACACAGAAGAACCGGTTGTATTGCAGTGAACGAGAACATAAATGGGAACAATCAAATGTACTTGAATACACAATTATAAGATCTCTTAGTAAAATCTGAGAACCATACAGTAAATACTTCATTTGCAAAATGTCAGACTTTATTGTGACTTCGTTTCCACAGTAATCCTTCACTGTTCTCGTTTCTTAGATCTTCTGCTGCCAGACATTTCATTTTCGATTGATGATACACACTACTGATATCGATAGATATCAGTAGTACACATCACAGTATTAGAGTAGCTTAAGTGTTCCTAATTTCGCATGTATTATAACTCGAAATATTAAAACTTAACAGAAACTATTTCCAAAAGGAAACTGATCAATCAAGTTTATACTTCTCCAATATTTCAATTAGGTATGATGAGTAGTCTACAGTTGTAATACAGTTACGCCTTCAAACAAACACCTAATTTGTCTTTTGATCTCAGTGAATTCAATACATGGGAATTAATTAGTTAGAGATAAGTTTCTTAAATAAATCCCTATTCTGTCACACACACACAATCTTAGTCAAAACCAGCAAGTATAATCTGATTCTAACAAATAATTTAATGAAATATGGTGGTGTATGAACTAATGATTCCTTTGTACTTGATTGACCACTGATTACGAATTCTATATAGAATACGCTTTTTTGTACTCATCTAGTTGTATATGCCTTAAATTGCACTATTTCTGGAATTCCCAGTCACTATATTAATTCGAATACTTCTAATCATTATATTGGTGTTGCGATTGTGTTAAATCTTGGACAGTTGGATATTGATTCAAGTAGGGATTACTTTGAAGACCATATGGAGCAGTTCGAAATTTGCTGTATGACTAGGAAACAGATTAAAGATGATAATTTCACATTTTATTTCTTGACGTTCGTAGACAAAGAAGCTAATAACCTGCTAAAGAATCTGAGTTTTTTTCAGAGAAACTGATTGCATTGTCATATGAATCTTCCAAGAAATTACTTCATAGTCATGTGCAGTGTGCTAGCTTGGAATGAAGAGAGAGACCAAAGTTTCATAAAATGATGAGAAAGTTAAAGACTTTATCACTCAAACTACAGAAACAGATCACGAAGTGGAATTTTAGACACTGATAAGAAACTCAACTTCATGATCGGTCGATTGCTGGTATAAATGTTCCAAATTTATAAAACGAATTAATTCCGAAGCTTAGAAGTTCATTTCAAGAAATTGAAACAGTCTATACTAACTATTTTCAGTCAGTGGAAATTTCTAATACTTTGTTTATTCGTCCTGATGAACTACACTCTCGGCGTTGTTCAAAATCGCGTTTGTTTAATAATGGTTCTTATTCTCGTGGAAATATGTAAAGTGAGTCAACAAGAAATTTTAAAACTGATCATAGATGTGAGCACAAGTTTGGTAAATATTTGTCCAGTGACGAATTTCATTCATGTGTATTTCGTTATGCTATATGCATTAAATGTGGTAAAATTGGACACAATCAGTCAGTTTGTAAAACTACTGTATATCTCACAACATGTAACATTAATCTTTGTAGTTCCGATCCTATTAAGTTGAATGTTTCTAATGATCCACGTTTTCGAAAGCTAATTTCTATATTCAGAAGCGATTATATACTTCATTTGGTTCATTCCATGTTTTATTATTGACACATGGATACGAAGGACCCACCTAGGGGAGTTGGAAAACCCTCATTCCCAACCAATGGTGTACATGGGCTTCAGGATCCTGAGGAAACAAATAATGTATGGACCAAATATTGGTCGCCAGCTAAAATGGGAATGCATCTCCTAACGTTGCTCCATTGCATTGTGGATCAGATATTTAGATCGAAGGCTCCAGGTGTGGACGCCTGAGGAAACCGTCTGCTTCGTTTTGGGCTACCGGGCAGTATCACATCCTACACACAAATCAAGTGACTTCTGTGGCGCATATCTGTTTTGTGTCTCCTTGTACAAATGTTTGTGTTTAAATAGATAAATAATCAGTGTAAACTGATAAGTCTTCCAATTGGACGCTTGACCAGGTTTACTAAGTTATTCTAGTAACCTTCAGGCTAAAACAACACGGCAACTTCAACACGAGAGAAAAAGCGTCAAATATAGAAGGGCGCTTTACTCTAAAGTTAGTTTATGTACAGAAAACCAACGGTATTTATAGCATTTTAGATGGCCTTGAGCTACTGGAACTCTTCTGAACATAGTAGTAGGACAGATAATCATCGGCGAGACTATAATTTATAGACGAACCAGTCAGATTTACGATAACAGGTCTTAAATTTTGGCGCGATATTCATTCACCCATTTGGCTAAATTCTTGGCATTATAGCTGACGTCAGTTCGTGAAGAAAACTCCAAGCCTAATTCCTAACCCTCAACTGTAAATCGTAATCCTTATCATTCAAACTAATATAACCACATTTAGCCCTAGTAGATAGGTAGACACTCTCAAGGTCACTTTAGCGTCCCTCAAAGGTCGTCCATAAATTATAGTCTCACCTAATCATCCAGTCAGAAATGTGACTTCTCACTTTACAGGTGTTTCTGTGGAACTTCTATTGAATGCTGATTGGATAAGATGTTTATCAGCGTTGTCAGGGTCCCTTTAAGCTTTTTCCGAGGAATTTTCTGGGTCCACCCAACATAAACGAATGCTTTCAGATATAAAAATCACTGTTAAAACTAAGTACGTTCAAACTAGTAATTTTTATGTATTAGAAATTCAACATAGGCTGAGTTACAACTTGCGTGAGGCACCTGAACTTAACATTACTTATACGGGTTATAGTAGCTCATGGGCAATTGAGTTTGTTCATATTTAATTTGATTAAGCCCTTTTGTTAACTTATTTAACGGACAGTCATCCGTACAATGACAACTTATCTATACCATTGTATGAATATGTATGATTGAGCACTACTTACTCCTTAGGTGGATATTCATTCTGCTAACCTTACTATTAGTTGCTTAATTGATTCGATGATCCATTCAATTCACTATGTATATATATGTACATTTTTATCATGTTCATTGACTAGCTTGCCCGCTGTTTTTCGGCTCTGAACAACATCATCAGCACAAACTTTACAATAGAACTCATTTGAAGTATACTTTGATAGTAAGTCAAACTAAATAAGACTAGTCATATTGAGCACTCCACAAAAGTCTCATATTTTCTTTACCATCAATCTAGATTGTCTTATTCTCAATTTAGTTTGTATGACAAGGGTGTTACAAGAAAGTGTATAGTTTATTAAAAGATTTAATTTTAAACAATCTATGGACGAAACTTCAATAGTTTATGTCAAATGAGGAAGACCAATTTATTGTTTAAAGCATAATCACAGTGGTTTAAGTAAGATATGAAAATCATACTTCAAATACATCATTTGCACATCTTCCATCAAGAGTCTCTCAAACACTTTATTATTCTTTCATTCCTGTTGTTATCTTGATTACTTTGAGTTTCTATCTGTCTTCTCTTCATTTCCATCCTCTCAACCTTCTAGTTACAAAAATCCCACTTCAAACTAGTGTAACATACTACTTATATCTGCAAGCATAAGTAGTATATATCACACTATCATTACTTCATTGGAATATCTAACATAGATAATAATTTATATCAGTCAGTCAGCTACAACGTAGGACCAGACACATATGCATCGGTTCAAATTGCCACACATTCCTATCCTTAGTTCAGGTATTGACACAGGTCAGTCCTGGAGCATTTAGAGGAGAAGCACATCCCAAACATCCTGACATTGCTGCTCAGTGCTGTCAAAAGACTCTGTCTTTTATCAGCATCTTTATCAAACAGGACTATATCATTTGCGTATTCTATGTCGATAAGCAAACCTCCTTGTAAGAGATCAGTACCCAAAAATTCAGTCGACCGGGGCGTTATTTCCACCAGTAAGTTTATGATGAATTTAAATATGTACTTAACGAGACTATCATCTACGGACGAACCAATCAGATAAAAGATAACAGATTTTGGATTTCGAAACAAAATCTACTTATCCATTTGGTTAAATAGTTTTGGCATTATAACTAATTTCAGTTCGTGATGAAAACCCTAAATCTAATTCCTAACCTTAACCATCAACTGTAAATCATAATTCGAATTCCTCACATAGGTTTATAACCCTCATTCGGTTCTAGTTATTAGGTGAACACTCTCAAGATCAGTCTAGCGTTGCTCAAAGGTTGTGCATAAATTATAGTGTCACCATATACTCCCACGTTCACAGTCACTTTTTGGCTTTATTGTGTATGAATGTTATTTCCTATTTTATGGTACGCTGTGGTCTGTTTGGTTGATATATTAAACCCAGTATGTCTGAAATAAATGATTCGATTCGCATAGTGGAAGCTGGTATTGGTGTTCTGGACTCAAGTGGACGAGCTAGGCGGACATAGGACCAATAAGGACGCAAGACTGCCCATACCGGTCGAACGTCATTGGTTTTCGCACAGTGCGAAGATTGTATAAGTCGTATTTTGATTGGTGGATAAATCACGTGATAACTAGCCGGACATAAAGTCATAACAGAAACTCTTGTTCAACAAAGTTAAGAAAGATCATCATCGTCAGACGCCAATAAACAATAAACTGTATTCTAAAACTTGACAAATAGTGAATATATATGATCGATGCAGCCGCAACTATATCTAAAGCCAGTCTGATTTTCTCATGTTTTCATATGAAAAATTAAATTTTAACAAATTAACCTGTAGAAATACATTTACAAATCACTTATATCTTTATTATTATGATGATGATAATGATTGCCAATTAATTTACAAATGAAGTAATAAAAAGAAAGGGATGATCATGATTATCATGGTGATAATGAGGATGATGATATTCTTCTCTCTCTCTCTCTCTCTCTCTCTCTCTCTATCTATCTATCTATCTATCTATCTATCTTAGTAGATGCAATTAGATTAAAATTACGAAACGTTAAAATCATCAATGATTTGAAACGAAAAAAAAGGAAGAAAAAATAAAGAAAAGAAATAAAAACAAAAAAGGTGTAAATTAGAAAAAAAAACATCTATTTAAGCATAAATGAAAATATAGTGGATCTCTTTCTTTCTCTCTCTCGCTTTATATTCCTTATCAAGTTTCTATATTCGATATATTCATATTAGTTGGATAACAATCAACTAATGGCATAATTGTAAGATATGCATCAAAATTTTGCCATAATATTGTATAACTAACATGAAAGCTAAGAAGAAAAGAAAAAAAAGAAAAGAATAAATGAATAAATGATAAATAGGTTGTTGTTTGTTTGTTTTTTTTTCTAATTAAAATCGAATGAATTGTTGTAAGTGTTAAATCTTAGTGAAGAATAAATGATGGGTAACTTTTGAGAACTATTCATGAACTAATCAGTCAGTCAGTCAGTCAGTAACAACGTAGAACTTCGTACGTACGTACATCAGTTCGAGTTGCCATACCACATTAGCACAGAGATGCAGTTGTCGATTCAAATCCCGTAGTGGTAGAGGTAGCAAGAGTATAAGCAGTAATCGGGAAGATTAGGGTTTGGAGATGTTATTTAAAGAGTATAATCCAGTGAAATAAATTTGGAAAGAGAAAAAAGAAAGGGACATGAAGAATTCAGAAGATTAGAATTTGGGAGAACACAAAGAGTGGATGCACCTGCGCCATTGCAAACGATTTTGAGCTATGTCATTCAGGGTCTCTAACCATCGGTTGCTATCATCTCGTGGTCCCCAACCAGGTAGTCTACACCTACCATCATGACTCAGTCCACTTGTCAGTGACTTCATGGACTTGTGCCATGTTTTGGTTTGGCCGCCTCTAGCTTTCTTCCAACCTACTCCTATACCACTGAACATAGATTCATGAACTAATATTGTTATTGTATAACTATTCAGTAACTAGATTATGTATATCTATATTCCTTTTATTATAAGCTTTATTTTGATCTATAGATTATTATGATACGATTGACTGTTCTAAAGTTATATTCACCCCCGAATGCCCTGGTACAGTCGAGAGTGGGGAGAGTCAGCTCTCCTTCTTTAAATGCTCTCACATGGTTACGCGTATACAACCACTGGCAGAGAAGTCCTACTCATTACCTTCTCGCGGTCGGGGTGCTGTTTAAGAAATTAAGAGGACGAAAAGCAAATGTTCGGTGCTTTAACCGAGTTGGTGGACACGGAGAGTCCACCTACGGGAGTTGGAAAACCCTCATTCTTAACCAATGGTGTACATGGGCTAGCTCCAGAATCCTGATGGAACAAATGGCGTATGAACAAACTATTGGGACTGCATCTCCTGATGTTGCTCCACTGCTTTGTGGATTACACCTTTCGGTCAAATACTCCGAATGTGGTCTCCTAAGAAAACTACCTGCTTTGATTCGGGCACCCGGTCAGTATCCCAGTCCTCCCATAAATCGAATGATTTATGTGGCACATATCTATTTGTTGCCTCCTTGTACTAATGTTTATGTGTTCAAATCATGAGTAATAATAATAATAATAATAATAATAATAAAATTTATACTCAGTTTATTGATGATTACAGTCTCCCATGATCAAAGCCACTGTTATGACGGGTATGACTGCAGGTTTTGATAACCAGCGTTTATTGATCGATTCGGTGACAGTGACACGTAAACACGTACGGACGGCCTAGAGTCTCGATTGGTTTGCGCTTCCCTGTCTAGCCCAGTCAGTTGAGTCCAGAACACAAGCCACAGCCTCGGAGATATGAATCATTATATTTCAAACATACTCTATTTATATACTAACCAAGCATACCACATCGTACCATAGAATAGAAAACAACATTTTGTACAATATTCAACAAGTGAACAGATATCGACCAATAGGAAATGTCCATCTAAAGTCCAAGGACACCATTGGACTTAACATGATAATTATTGGTCTATTCCTCCGCATCCACAACAGCCACTTTTCGGCTTGATCTTGTATAAATGTCATTTTATATTTTATGGTGTGATGCGGTCTGTTTGACTGGCATATAAACTAAGTATGTTTGAAATAAATAATTCGCATAGTAGAAGCTGTTATTGGTATTCTGGACTCAGTTGGAAAGTCTAGGCGAACAAAGGACCAATAAAGACGTTAGGCTGCTCATACCGGTCGAGCATTATTGGTTTAGTACAGTATAAGATTAAATAAGTCGTATTTTGATTAGCGAATAAATCGCGTGTTAACTAGCCGGGATTAAAGTCACAATAGTAAGGCAGAGAATCGAGCACAGTGGCGTAGCTGTGTATAAATCTTTCTCATATGTATCAATAATATCCCCCAAATGCCCTGGTACGGCTGAGAGTGGGGAGAGTCCGCTCTCCCTCTCGAAATACTTTCACACGGCCACGCGTATACAGCCTCTGCCAGGGAAGTCCTACTCACTGCCTTCTCGTGACGGGGAGGTTGTTTACGAAAATGAGAGGACGAAAAGCGAATATCCTGCGCTTTAACCGGATCCCAAACAAAATCAATGGTGCACATGGGCTCCAGTATCCTGCGGGAACAAATGGCGTATGAGCCAACTTTCAGTAACCGGCTACCATGGGACTGCATCTCCTTACGATGCTCCACTGCCTTGTGGGTCAGACCTTTAGGTCAAAGGCTCGGAGTGTGGCCCCCTAAGATAACCACCTGCTTCGGTCTGGGCACCCGGGCAGTATCACAGCCCACACACACACACACACAAATATGGTGTGGCGCATATATATTTGGTGCCTCCTTGTACCAATATTTATGTGTTGAAATAAATAAATAGACCGACGATTAGCATTCTCCAACCCACTCAACACATATATACTTGTTAAGATTTTTCGAAATGTATTACACTAATCTATTATCACATTAGTTTTAATAATCTTCATCTTCTTAATACATCTATCGAAATTTATCAAAAATGGGATTAATTACTTTAAATGAAATAAAGAATTACATATTGTATTATAATATAATAATATACCATATCAATACTTACGTAAAAGTTACGTATATATCATGGAAGTAAGGTAATTTCATAAGACATAATTTACTGAAAATAAATAAATATAAATAGATTTATAAAAATCAGTTACAAGTTTGAATTATGTACTTTAACTGTTACACAAGAGAAGTGAAGTTTTGAAACTGGTGTGTTATAATTTAACGACATTATTCTTCAATCTCAGCTATATTCTTATTAGAGTAAGATATCTGGTTTTGTAAATATTTCAGTTATTTAGATTTAATATTTGATAGATGAATGTACTAACTATGGTTATCAGTATAGCCTATTGCATGAATTTTATTTATTTATTTGAATATATAAATATTGGTACAAAGGGGCACCGAATACATATGCGCCACATAAATCATTCGATTTGTGTGACGGCTGGGATATTGCTCGGGTGTCCAGAATGAAACAAGTGGTGTTCTTAGGGGGCCACACCTGGAGCCTTTGGCCTAAAGGTTTAATCCACAAGGCAGTGGAGCAACGTCAGGAGATACAGTCCCATGATAGTCGGTGACCAACGATCGGTTCATAAATTATTTGTTCCTTCAGGACAGGATCCTGAAGCCCATGTACACCATTGGTTTGGAATTAGGGTTTTCCAACTCCCGTAGGTGGACTCTCCGTGTGCACCAACTCGGTTAAAGCACCGAACATTTGCTTTTCGTCCTCTTAATTTCGCAAACAACGCCACCGTCACGAGAAGGCAGTGAGTAGGGCTTCCCTGGCAGTGGCTGTATACACGTGGTCATGTGAGAGCATTTGAAGAAGGAGTGCTGACCCTCCCCACTCTCGACTGTACCAAGGCATTTGGGGGCTATCAAGACAATGTGATTTTTCTAGTGAATATTTGTCTTCCAAAATTGCGTTAGTATACAATATTTCCCAATGCTGTTTAGGATAACGTATATGTTAAAAAGCAATAAACTGTGATTAAGTCATGAATCAAACTAATACGAGACAACAACACTGTCATGAAACCTTTGGGGATATAATAACATGTGTTCTGCCCGTGGATAACGTTCAAACAACTAAAACTTATCCAGCATTGTGTCAAGTGAAGTGATTTGTTAGCTTCTTTACACTTTGAACTGATCTAGAAACAGTTATTGATGAATAAAGTGTGATATATGGAGATAAACAGAACAGTTAGACAAGTATTTTTAAACTAAACTTAACACAACTTTCATCATATCAATCATACTATAAATATTAAAAAATCTCTTTTAATCTTAATATGTACAATACACTACATACAGTAAACTTTGAATGAATGACGGGAGCTAAAAGTTACATGCTTAGTTGGGGGTCACTTCTACAATATTTTACGAGTTTGAAAAGAGAGAGCTTAAGATTCTCAGGAGAAAGATCCAAAGTTGAATGATAGAATGAAGTATAATCTATTACATTGGGACTATACACATGTATTTTGGCAATACAGTATGGACATGAACATAAGCATTAAGGTTAAGTAAGGGAAATGGTAAGGATGTTGATGCTCGGAAACAGTTGAAAAGAAACATATTGTCTCAAAACTTCAATTGATAGATTTAAGTAGTCGAATTTCGCTCAGTGAATGGAATTTTATCGTAACATAAGTTTTCTAGTGTGAAGATGATCAAAGTAAACAAGTCCCGGCTTCTACGTTGTGATTGACTGGCTAACTGACTTTACTTCCTATCACTAGTACAGGCGTCAGCTCAAACAAGTTTTGGACCAACATTTTGCACTTAAAGAGGGAGACACATCCCAAATATGTTCGGATTGTTGCTTATGGTAGATCAGAAGACTCTGAATTTTGTCAGCATCCTCACCGAACAGAACTATATGATTTGCACATTCTAGGTCAGCAAGTGGATTTCCTGGTAGATCAACCACTGAAAAGCCAGATGATGAAAGTGCTGTATTTAAAAGCCTGTCTATGACAAAGTTAAATAAAAATGGGCAAGTTGGAAAACCTTGGGGAACACCACTTGAAAAAATCAACCCCGATGACAATACACTATATGTTCGAACAGAGAGCCAGTATAAGGCTAATATACATCTTTAGTACATATTTCAATGAAAGACACTGGCACAGAACATTACGAACAAAGTCTAACTCCCCACTAAGGTCAGGGAATACAACTATTATCATACGTCGAAAGTACGTCTATGTTCCGGAACCTGCCGAAGGCTGAATATCCGTTCAATACATCTACGTAAACGTCTGAAACCAGCCTAGTTTCCTCGGATCCGCTCTTCCCGAACCCTCGTTACGTGTCCAAGTATTATTAAGGTTAATATTTCAGATAACATTATCAAAGTTGGATTCACGAGTCAATATACGTTAAGTAAACATTTTAAACCTGGAGGAACTGGACGGTTATTTCGTCCTGGCGTGTGACTCCTCAGCAGAGTGTATCCACGACCCCTCACGCGGGAATCAAACCTGCGACCTTCAGTCTCGCGCGCAAATGACTAGCCTCTAAGCCGGTATACAACAGTGTCAGTGTTTAACTTCAACCTCTCCATGATCTTGCGCAACCCTTCATTCAGCGTCTGAGGTGGTTAACTGTCTCACATTCGACGGAAATTGGAGTCTACTGATCACGGCTTCACATTAGAACTCCAGGAAATTTATCTTGAAGTCAGTCACTAGTGTGGATATGATTATTATTATTATTATTATTATTATTATTATCAGAATGGGGGTTTGTGCAAATTGTATTATTTTCAAAGTTGAACTAACGAATCAAAGCTAAGATATTACTTAAGACTACTGCTATTGTGGTAGTATTTTTTAAAAACAAAATCAATGAAACGGTAAGAAGAAAAACGAACTTTCGTTTTTTTTTTTGTTTTCATTATTTGAATAAACACACAAAATTTATTAAACCAACATTTTAGTAGATACATGGTTAAATTGTAGGCTCAGGCATAACATGTAGATATCCCCGTTTGAATAACCGGTTGTGCCCATTTTGGTTACCTGTGCAGAAGTATCGTTGTTACTTGTCAATTCTGTGATTGTTTTTTCAGGTTAACGGACTAATAACACGTATTGTGGTTCATTATCAAGATAAGTCGGTTTTGGCCTATCGATGCTTACTGAGTCGATGTTTCCCTGTTTTTGTACAAAGAAATACTTAGGTTTTCTTGAGACAACATTTTATGGACCTTCGAATGGAGGACTAAGTGGTGTTTTTACTTCGTCATAACTTATCCAGACGTTTGTGCAATTGTTTAGGACCTTGGGTACATATGTCGAACGCGATTGTTCAAGAGTACTAATTGGTTTAAGTTCGTCATTTGGTACCGTAGTTGGTCAACGTAACTTTTTGCTGTCAGTAAGCAGATTGATAAGATCACCCGGTAGTCCTAGAGTCGTCCCGAAGATTAGTTTCAAACTTAAACCAATTAGTACTCTTGAACAATCGCGTTCGACATATGTACCCAAGGTCCTAAACAATTGCACAAACGTCTGGATAAGTTATGACGAAGTAAAAACACCACTTAGTCCTCCATTCGAAGGTCCATAAAATGTTGTCTCAAGAAAACCTAAGTATTTCTTTGTACAAAAACAGGGAAACATCGACTCAGTAAGCATCGATAGGCCAAAACCGACTTATCTTGATAATGAACCACAATACGTGTTATTAGTCCGTTAACCTGAAAAAACAATCACAGAATTGACAAGTAACAACGATACTTCTGCACAGGTAACCAAAATGGGCACAACCGGTTATTCAAACGGGGATATCTACATGTTATGCCTGAGCCTACAATTTAACCATGTATCTACTAAAATGTTGGTTTAATAAATTTTGTGTGTTTATTCAAATAATGAAAACAAAAAAAAACAAAAGTCCGTTTTTCTTCGTACCGTTTCATTGATTTTGTTTTTAAAAAATATTACCACAATAGCAGTAGTCTTAAGTAATATCTTAGCTTTGATTCGTTAGTTCAACTTTGAAAATAATACAGTCTCCACAAATCTCCAAAATAGATACCATATTAGTCAAACTAATTCCTCAGCGATCGTCACAAGGGAATTGTTGTTATTTTTTACAGACTGGGACGATCAGCAATCTAGACTAATCAAATGGAATTACGTTCAGTTCTCAGATTCTAATGATGTAAGTTGATATAACTGCTAAAACTGGACCACCATATTTAAAAATCTCTGATTTATGCAAATATTCGTCAATATTTGGGCGAGTAGTATGACAGGAATTGGACGTCGAGTAATAATAATAAATAATGTCCTTCTCTAGTTGTTCCTAAAATATGTTCTTACGTTCCTCATCATTATGTCGAGCTCGAGGAGTTTTGCATACTGCGATTTTTCTACGTCCAGTAAGATACAGAGAAATAAGTGCTCAAACTAGAGCATGACCCGATTCTAAACATCTGCTCCAGAATGAGCGATAGTCTTCTATCGTCTCCCAAACAATGTTCGATGGCAATGTGGTCTATTTGATTTAATCAATGTGTCCATTGTGTGAGTCACCATGTCAAACGATGTTTATCTTTATGCCTAGAGATAGACGGTCATCAGAGCATAGTTGGCACTATATGTTTGTTGACCGATGACATCGTAAAATACACTTGAACGCTTTTCAGTTAGGTTTAGTTTACTTACTTAGGTATTAAAATCACCCATTATTACCACATCAGGAAGTTTAGCTTCCTTAAGGCCGGAAATTTTCCTGTAAAATTCATCTTTTATATCATTGGAATTGTAATCAGTGAGTTTAGGTAGAGGCAACGATGTGTACTCATATTTTAGAGTTTTCACCTTCCTATTGAATCGGGTAGTGCAAAAGCGATTGTCTATTGGGATTCAGTCTAAGAAATTATATTCTACTTTCGAAATAAATGCTACACCAACAACAGCGGGAAGTATCAACGGGGTCCCCAAACACAAAAAGAGTAAATCGACCCGGTTCTTTATATTGATAAGGTGAGTTAGAATGGGCGACCGCACTTGGATTTCGCATGAGCGTTTCAAAGACGCAGAATACATCAATGGCACTAGATTTTATTCCCGGCTAAGGTAGCCCGTTGTTCAGTCAGACAAGGTTAAAACATTAACAACTCCAACATGTCTAGATTGTGGCTTCAGAAGGCCAGGAATAACATTTCGTAAGCTCAAATCATCAGCATTGGTGGCACCTTATGATAGGGATATGCGAAAAGGGTTGTCCATAAAGATGGGAGAATTACTAATGGATGAGGGGAGACTTGATGGTGAACAAAGTGACCTTGGATGTTGTTAGAGGCATGGGGACGGTTTTCATCCCTTGCCTGTCCAAATATTAGTGGATATTTCTTCTTGATATGCTTGAATAAGAGTCTGGGTTAGCAATAGTTTTAGCGATCTGAGGGCTTGACCACAGAGCCTAACAGATAACTGTTTGAGGCCGGCCGCTCACGGCGTTTTTATGGGAAGTGTTTAATGAGTTAGCCCAGCGCCTTGAAACCTATCGCCGGAGACAGAAATCCGTGGGAACAGGCGAGGTTGTTCGAGGGAAACGCTCTACTATTTTGACACCTCTCTACAGTCAGTAGAACCTGCCGTAGAACATTAAGTCGTTACTTTTAATTTTACTGCACCCCAACTGATCAACCTGAAATGGTAGGACCTAAAGGAAGATATGTTCCAGCCAGCATCACTCGGCTGAGTCATCACAATAAGCAAGCCCCACCACCACACCAAGTTGGGAGATACAGTCAAGTGATCAAAGTAGTTAAGAACAACGAATAAAAAGGATGATAAAACATACGGTTTGCTGTATTAAACCCGTAGTATTCACTAAATTAAGTAGAGTGAAGCACTGTCGCAAAGAGTGGGCATAATGGATAACAGGGTTGCAAAGCATAAGCCAAACCACATTCGAAGCGTAACCCTTGTTAAACAACACTGTCACACGAAGTTCCAGTGGAATCAGCTGTGAAGTAGACACAATTATACATGAATTTGTTTACTGAAATTAACTAAATCTTGTTCCTTTCCCTGCCCATCTATTTTTAAATACCGATCGTAACTAAATCTGTAGTATATGAAATGGATCCAGATGAAAAATAACTACCAACTTACATTACATCGAAATGTTTATGCTCAAAGAGTAACTTCGTTGTCACATTCAGTAAAGTTTCGGAGCGAAGCGGTAGCATCTGAATGGAATTGTTAACAGTCTCCTGTAGATCCACTGAACGGTATTTTGGAGACACAATTATTTTAGTTATTGTGGTTGGAACAAAGTTAGGATTTGATACATTAATTTGGTTCTACGTGGTACTCACAAGTTATGAAAAATGAACATACAATCACTGTGAGATCTATCAAATTATCTTGCATGTTGGCAATGGCACTTATCGTAATTAACTTGTACGCTGAACTTCTCAGAGAGATTGTTCGCGGAAAGAGAAATACCAATAAAAGTATAAATACTAAGGAGCAGATCACTACAGACCCAAAAAGTTTAAGGCATATTCTACGCGGCCGAAGACGTCGGTCTGTCAGAGGTATTAAAGCCACATACTCTGCTCTGGAATCTGACCAATTTTTACACAATTTGCGTATAAAATACCTTTACGCACGTAGCCTGCTCCGGAACATGTTGGGCAAGCAACTTGAGGTGATATTACTTCATAACTTGGCATTCCAACTGACCTTGAGACTTTCAAGCAACCTCCAACTTCAATACCCAATATCTTCGATACGTGCGTACATATACTAACTGGTTTCTCTGTGGTCACTTCATGTTGATTCGGTATGATTCCACGTTTTTGATAATCCTCAATGAGGGGTTATTCAGCTACTCAAACGCTCTAGTTCTAGTCCGCTGGATGGTAGACTTCAGGTCCCAGTACCCCGTGAAATAGTAAAATAGATCGTAGACCGAAACCTTGACTATGTTATGCTTCAACAAAGACCTTGATGATCGCTTCGTTTCAGGCAATAGGTCATCACTTCCGATCTTGGGTGATCTGTACCTTAACTCGTTAACTAAATGGCCCTCCAACTTCCAAGAATTCTCAAATCCCTCATTTGCTTCGCGAAATACAGGTATAAACTCCCGTGCTACACGGCCTGCAAGCACTCTGCGTTTCACACGGTCTACGAAGAGCTATGCAAAGTTATTTGTTGCCAGTCTAAGTAACAGACCTTTGACAACAACGTAACTGAAAATAACGTCAGCATCAACTATGTGAACGTCATCTGTCTAAAAAGCAACCTTTTTGTAAAATCCATTTTGGTTTGTACTCGCAAAAATACGGGAAAAATCATATTTCTCCTTATTAGTACTATCTCAGTATTTTGTTGTACTTATTGCTGCTCCTATGACTTTTGTCATTTCGCATATGTGCTTCTTTTTTGTCTTTGGCTACAATCATTGATAGTATATTGTTTACAGAATAGAGATTTGCGGAGATTGTAGCAATTTTTCATGGTTGAATTCATAACTCGACTAAGAATTGTTTATAAACTCCAACACTTCGTTAATTATCTGATAGTGTTGTGTCTTTTGAGAACTGTTTATCATTGTTTTACTTGATATCATTTTATGTCGGATACCACATCGGCAATCTATACTTTGGCTATTACATCTGATACATGTTGCCAATATTAAAAGCGTATCCGCTGTTTGATTTGAGAACTTGCTCTACAAAGGACTTGGAATTAACTACATTTTTTTATCCAACTCTTGTTTTCTTGTTGATCGATCATCTTTGGGGCTGATTGAGCAGACCATTCCTTGGGTAGGATATTGTTTCTCGCCTAATAGGAATGTTCCCTTTATGGTGATAAGTGGTATTTGGAAAAATCCTGTTACAGTTGGGAAGTGCTGTTCGGGCAGTATTAGATTTTTTTCTTACATTTTTCTAATAGTACCTTCCTCACCATTTTGGACGTCTCTCACTTTTTATGGAAAGTTGTGTATTATCGCCTTCTGAATTACTAAACTTCAAGTAACGTAACAATGGCAATAACAACGAGACAGCCACTGTGGAAGTAATCCATTACTAGGTTCATCATACTTCTCTGTCAGACTCTCCACTTTGCCACAAAACAGCAATCCCGCATCAAACATTTCAGTGAAGTCTTTAGGCAAACAACGTCAGCAATGAAACTGTTGGCAAATCGCAAAATTAACGCATTCAAGTAGAATCATGGGCTTCTATCGGAAGTGTAGTGTGGCGCCGAGTCGCGGTTGACTATGATCATCACTACAGGAAGACTACGTACCAGTTAACCTCTCTGGAAGGGAACAGTACACTGTGTTTGGAGGAAAGAGTTCAGAGTTTCTACTGTCTCATGAAGGTGTACCACAAGGAGCTGTTCTTTCACCTCTTCTATTCTCCTTTTTTCTGCATGACCTGCCATCTTCCACAGAAAACACTTTTGTGAAGTATGTGGATGACCTCACTGTATGTATGCCTATATCTTCCTCTTTACATCCCATAGAAATGAATGAGTTTTTGTCTCGTATTGATTGTTGGTCTTTTGGTAATGGTCTCATACTTAATCCGTCTTATTGTCAGGCTGTTAACTTTAGCATGAGACATAAACGGAATATAAACACTATTTTGAGATCCCATAGTGCTTGTACCATCGGAGACTCTTTGATAAACTCAGTGTCGAAGGTCAATTATCTTGGTGTCACCTTTTCCTCTGATCTGTCTTGGTCTTCCCACGTTTTATCGTTATCGAAGAAGGTTTTCCGTCTGACCTATTACATAAAGAGATTGCATGCTCTTGGAATTACTCGTCATTTACTCTTACAATTTGTCAATTCTTGCATACTACTTATTATTCTTTACTGTTCTCCATTATTCTTTCCCGGGCTTTTGAGAAAAGACTTTGCTGTATTGCGAAGAGTGCTGAAGGCAGTTAGCAAGGTGTGTGGTGGATCTTTCGAGGTCATAGTTAATATGGTTGTGGATAGACAGTTAAAATCATGCAAACTCCTGGCAGGCGTCATTTTATCAGATACTAGCTATCCCCTTCACTCTTATTTTTCTCCTTGTATATCTTCTGGTAGAACGAGACGTAATTACATTAAAATCCATGCACGCAAGGAAAAGTATAAAAGTTCTATAATACCTTACCTAGCAAATATACTTTGTGACGAACAGGTTGCTAGAATTAACCTAGTCAATAACTTACATTCTTAACATGTCTTTAATTTTAAAAAGTTTGTACAGTTTTTTGGTTTTTTTTATTTTATTTTTTTAAAAACCTTTTTTTATTTCTTTTTGTATTTGCTACTGCCTTTTTGTTCGTTGTTCAGTAAGTAACTTGTTGAAATACCCTGTGCTGAGAATTCTATATTGTACCAAAAAGATAATATTGAATAAAGCCATTGATAATAATAATAATATCCCCCGTAAGCCAAATATCAGTAAGCAATTGATGGCTGTAGTCGAGATGCATTTGTTGGCGATCTCGTGGTATTGAAAGAATACCGAGATCGTGCCAGGCTACAAGTGTGGTTACTGAGCGTAACCGAATTCGTGCAAGGTCACAGTCAACGGAAGAATGAGTGTTTTGATACAGTTCAACAAACAAATACAGTAAAACAATCCCTGACACAATTGGTTATAATAATAATTGTTTCCAATACATCAATCGCGTTCTCTTGATAAAAGTAGGTCACTACAGGAGCCCCTCGCTAGAAAGGGTTTACATTTTCGATAAGTGGTGGTTTCATTCGCGGGACTGATCAGCAGACGTGCGATTGTAGGACGAAAGGGTTGGCGAACAGGAAGCGATTGTTGATCCTCGAGTTGCCACCTAAGATCTTTTAGGTAGAACGGTACCAAGAGAAACATGCTGATCTGTTGCTCGAGTTAGCGTACCACACCAGATTGGTTTGTATCCAGGATCTGGGGATTGTGTTCGTAGGGGTGTGGGCCAGGAAACGCTGCAGACGTAAGAAGGAACCACGTTGAGCCAAGGAACCAGGAGCGACCAGAACAACCAAGTGCGAGACCAACACATATGCCAGACAGGTCCGAAACCAGAATATCGACTAAGTGCGTTGACAAGAGCGTGGTTGATCAAACCAGCGTTCGCCAAAATGGATTGAAGTCAACGGTACCAAGCGGGCGATGGTCGGAGGCGTGGGTTCGGGATACAAAACAAATCAAAGAAAAAGAGAAAAAGTGTGACATGCATGTAGTTTAGGAACAGTCCCAAACCGTATTCATTGTTGATTGTGCGGTTAGTCACGAAAACGTATAGGTAGGCGTGCTCGGCGACCGGAACATGATACGATAGTCTTTTTCGTACTTCGTGAGCCTGAAATCTCATCCGAAGTCAAGGGCGGCGTGGTCTGCTGGTCTGGACGTGAGACTGAAGTCTCGTGCGTCATTGGTGCAGATGACACGTGCTGTTGACCGGGACGTGAGAATGAGGTCTCTGATGTATCTAGCGTGGGACATGAAGTAGATGTAAGGATCCTGCTAGTAGGTTTGATGGGTCTAGCATTGCGTCTCGAGTTATCGGGTAAAGCACTGTCATCGACGTGTGCTGGTTTGAGACGATCAATGCTGACGATCTCGACACGGCCATGTCGATCAGCCTTGAAAGTCTTTTCGTGAATAGAAATCACGTGAAAAGGTCCTTCGTAAGGCTGTTGCAGAGGTTTGCGTACCGAATCTACGCGTATGAAAACATTTGAACAGGTAGATAACTCTCGACGGAGGGCGACTTGTCGATGTTGTATTCGAGTTGACACCGGAGACAGTGTTCGCATAAATTGAGACAGTCGATGGACGTAGCCTGACTCACCGAAATCGTTACTGCTCCGTGGTGTGAAAAATTCCCCAGGCAGACGCAATGTCGTGCCGTAAACAAGTTCAGCGGCGGAACATCAAATATCTGCCTTTAAACTCGTTCTGATGCCTAAGAGGATGAGCGGCAAGGTTTCGTAACAATTGCTGTTTTCTTGTGCTCGAAAAGCACTTTTAAGTTGGCGATGAAACCGTTCAACTAAACCATTTGATGCTGTGTGGTAGGTGGTAGTGCGTATGCGTCTGTACCAAGCAGCCGGGTCGGTGAGGAGAATAATGCGGACTCGAATTGTTGTCCTCGGTCGGTCGTGACAGTCGAGGGACAACCGCAGAGCGCTATCCAACTGTTTCTGCCGTAATAGACGTGATGGGAATAGCTTCGGGCCAACTCGTAAAACGATCGATGCATGTGAGTACATGATCATATCCGTGCGATGGTGGCGATGGTCCCACAATGTCTATATGAACGTAATCAGGCGTACCGAACGTGCCAATGGGGGCAGCTACGTGCCTATGCAGTTTTGATCGTTGACGTTGTAAGTATTGCTTTGCCCACATACGGACATTTTTATTCATGGACGGCCATACGTATCGTGCAGCGATGAGGCGTAATGTAGCTGCGATACCTGGATGAAACAGTCCATACAGGGCATCAAAGACGAGACGACGGTAGGCAGAGGGTACGATGGGTCGGGGAAGACCGGTAGAAGTATCACGTAGGATAGTACCTGAGGTAGTAGCTAGGGGTACTCCTTGGCACTGAAGGGATGTAGTTTTTGGTGCTTCTGTACGGAAGGGACCGTCTGCTTGAGCGGCAGCCATAGCAGGAAGATCGAGCACCGGTGAAGTAGCTGCATTCACTTGAATACGTGACAGAGCATCGGCAACATAGTTCGACTTGCCTTTAATGTG